AACCTGAAGTGAAAGATGAAGAAAAGATGAGGGAAGACAAAAGTGGTGATGAGATGCTAATGGAGCTAAACCAGAAAACTCTTCAGGAATTGACTTCTGTTGCAAAAAAAGATCTGTGGGGATTTAAGCAAGACATGCACGAGGCGTTTCTGTATTTGAATATCTTGAAAGAGAAATACGATCTAACTGCACTAAAGCAAATGGAGCCCTACAAGCACAACGCCTGGCTGTTAAAACTAAAGACACATCTCTGCTTCCTCTAAAACAACACTGAAACCCAGTTGGTTGACTAGAAACAGGAGAAGCAACACAAAGATGTATAGTGCCAGAAGATTCAGTGTCATTCATAAACTTCTTGACAATACACTCACTCTGCAAGACTTCGTAAAACCTGCAAATTCACAGAGGCCACACGGCAAAATGTGGCACAAATTCTCCACCGAGATCTACTGTTGTGACACACTTGTCCATTAAAGACGTGATGCTAAAATCAGCTTGGAAACAGAAGATCTGTGTTGGTGACTAACACGTATTTTTTGACCATGATTATGCAGACGAGGTTCCAAACGAACACGGTTCCAAACCTCCCTCACAAGGATCCGCTGGAATACCAGAACCTCAGAAAATACTCAAGAGGCTGCGCAGTCGTTGACAACATCAATGTGGAAATCCCCCATGAATTTGTCACATACAGGAAAATGTAAGGAAAGTATTCCCATAGCAACAGGTGGTAACGAGATACGGAGGACAGGCGATAATGATGCGCACAAGGTGTTTAAGGGCGGCACTGAAGGGTCGGATCAGTTACCAAGCAGCTTTGCAGGTAGATAGACGCATGAATACATAAACCTCTAAAGTCGATGTATAGCATTCGATGATTAAATAGCAACTGTTAAGCCACACTTTCCAGAACTCTGTTAAATTTCTAAGGGCCTTTCTAAACACAACCTTTTCTGGCCCCTTGATGCAGCTCATTCGCTACAGAATGCATCAAATTAAAACAAGAACTTAAAACAAACCATAATATTTAAGGAACGTTGGGCGTATCCTGGAGGTGTGGAGAGACGGTCCAGTTCTGTGGAGGACTGTATTCTGGAAAGGCATTGTGATGAAAGCTAACCTCTTTCATGTAAATTTGACAAATAGATAAAATAAACATTCTTAAAGGTCGTCTCAAGTAGTCTAAATAAACACTGGTTGAACATTTATCAAATGATATACATGGCTACAAGTGAGGGCTATCAGGGATTTGGGATGCGTGTGAGGTGGGAGTTTTACTTTTACTTAAAAAAAAAACAAAAAACAACCTGATCTAAAAGACTAAATAAAAAGAAAAGAAAAATGAAGTTGAAAAAGAATGACATATGCAAAAGAAATCAAACCGTTAAAGTGCACCAACCAAAACATTAGGAAGGAGGCAGTAAACATGGATGGCTACTGGCTTTTTACAAAAGCAACACTTAATTTCAATCCAATATTTTAACTTTGTGTCAAGATCGTGTTTTTTTTAAATTGTTACAAAAAATAAAAAATAAAAATTATGAAAAATGAAATGCTTAACTACAGGTTGAGGATGAAAGTAAGCATTTTTAAAATAAAATAAATCTGCCTTCACTAGCAGACAAAAAAAAGAAGAAAAAAATCAAAGAAGAAAATGTACTCCTCAAGAATGATATCAAATAAATCCTCAAATGGATTTACAGTGAAGCGGTATTTCAGCTGAGAAGATTCTCTGACACCTTTTCTTCTGAACATATTGAATTGGTTCTTGTTTGAAATAGGAATGTAATAGAACCAGGCAACAGTGTCAGACATACCAAACTGGACAAGAGCAATAATTTACTGTCATGATTTGTTTATTTCCATCTCGGCTACATGTGACTGAAGCAAACAGGATTTACTTGGACTCTACAAACTCAAGACGATATTAGAAAAACCCTGCTGATGCTCAGATCTGTAACCCGGCGCTAATAAGTGAACCTCGATGGAGAAAAAGCATTCGGCTCTGGGAGGTGGACTTTTCTTATTAACGTTGTTGAAAATTTAGTTTCAACGAGGCAATAATCCAAACAGTGGAAAGACTCCTACATCGAAGGCCATCGGCACGATTGAAGATTTAATGAGGAACCTTCAGATTCGTTTTATACTCCAGTGACCAACTGGGCGACGCTGCCTATTAGGTCTCTTTGCAATTATTATTTTTTTTTTGGAGCCATTAGTTCAAGAAACAAGGCGAAATGATGCAATTGAGGGACACAAAAAAAATGGCAGACAAACAGAAACTGGCTGTTTGCAGATGATGTACTTGTGTATTTAGGCAGCCCAACACAATCCCTGCCGCTGACTGGAAAAGAACTCATCCAAAAGAGTCCGATTCTCCCGTTCTTCCATGAAATACTAACATGCTGGGATGAAAAGCTGCTGAGAATGTATCCCCAAAGATATGTCAAGGTTAGTAGAAATTAATTATTGACCCTTTAAACAAAGAAATTCTGACAGATAGCCATCGATAGAATTTAGTACAATACTTAGCTAATGAAGTGAATCAATCAAGATGGCTTTTTTTTTTTTACCTAATATCCATAAAAGCACCAAATAAACCTTTTTGAGACTGAAAACGATAACTATCTGGATAAATATAGACCAGGACAAAATCAGACACAAGACACTGGCGTTATTAAAAATATAAAGGAGTCCTCGCTCTTCCAAATCAGAATTACTAATATAAGGCAGCACAACATGGGATTTTAATAGGTTGGTGTACAGCTGAGCTGAACAGGAGGTCATTGAACAAGCGATCGAAAAAGAAAATCAATGCAATAAGTAGGGCTCTGTCACTGTTTGATTACTTCCAAGCTAATTTAGCAATTTAACCTGAAAAAGGCAGTTGGCATTTTAAAATGGTTCACATACGAGCCCAAGATTTACATTTGAAAGCAAGAAAAATTATTTACAGATTGGACCTCCGCTGCATAATCACATAATAATAGTGTAATCATAAACCTTATATGTCAAGGTACAATTAGGAGCTTAAAGTCTGAAGTCAGAATCTAGAGCATTTTCAGTATTTAAAAATTAAACATATTTTTTGGGGGGGGAAAAAAAAAAGTACCTGTAAATGCTTTTAACTGTTATATAAAGGCCATTTAAAATATATCTGAGTCTTCAGTCACTAGAGGAAAGCATATAAAACTAAAGTGAAATAGTGGATAAATCTCAACAAAAACGAGGAAGTGACATTTGATCAACGCTCAAAAACGACAAGCTGTCCATGTTGAAGTCATTTCAGTGGGAAAAAATGTAATGTGCTATTTCTGTAGTTCTTCCCAAAGGAAATTGAAAACAGACAGATTGCTGAAGAGCTTGTAGGGACACAGACGCAAATCATGTTCATACATTTTGGATGTGCCCAGCTGTGATCCCATTTTGGTTGTCTTTTTGTGAAAAATTACTCTGAGCCTTCAGCTTTTTGCACCTGGTTTGTTTGGTAGACCTTGATGGAAAGAAGAAGAAGTATCTGTTAAGAATACTATTGGCAGCATGTGGAAAGTCCCCAACTAAGGCCTGAGAGCTGAGGCGATGAGCTCGGACATCCGGAGGGAGCAGAGTTGCTGCTCCTTGGTGTCAAAAGGAGATCCCTGAGGCGGTTGGGGCAGCTGATTAGGATGCCTCCTGGGTGCCTTCCTTTTGGAGGTTTTCAGGGCACGTCCAACGGGGAGGAGACCCAGGGGTATTTATATAGAACTCTCTGGAGTGATTACATATCTTATCTGGCCTCCGAGCACCTCAGAATACCCTCTGGGAGGCTGCAAGAGAGAAGGATGTCAGGAATGACCTGCTTGGTCTGCTGCCCCCGTATCCTGACTCCGGATAAGCAGAAAAAAAGAAACGCGTCGATGATCGGACTGATCTGGTGTTTATATGTAATGGAGAGAATTACTTGGACATTACAGAAAGGGCAGTTTCCAGCTGACTTTTATTGTTTGAATTCATTTTTTTTATTGTTGGTTCATGAAGAATCAGGCTCAGAATTTTTAGTTCTTAACAGGATCTGATGAGAGGAACCAGTTTGTGTTTGAACTTTTAACATGTAGAATTAAGTGAATTTAATGAAATATCCCAATTTTAAGCTTAGTTAGAGCAGAAAAAGGGCCAGAAAAGCCAAATAATCATTTACTTTTTTGTATTGTATGATTTTTCTTCTGTTTCTCTCGACACTGTCTTAGATCTGTCTGAATTAGAATTAGAAAGCTGCATCTATGACTGACTCCCTCTGAAATGTTCTAGTCGAAGATGAGATTCTTTTGTTTTTAAATATTACATGAAACCCCAGAAAATATTACTGAGGTGAGACTTAGTCATTTCTATATGTACTAAGCTAAAAAAAAAAAAAGTAGTGTCTGTCAACATTTAGTGCAACAAAACACAAAAATTTGAGCCAACTACTGAAGTTCTGCCTTTGTGTTTTCATATTAACACAAACCAAATTACATGTACAGCTGCTTTATTACACTATTTATTCATCCTAGTTCCAGTCTGCAGCTGTTTTGTTTCTTGCTAAAGTCCAGCAATTCAGTCTGTATTTAAAAAAAAACAAAAAAACACTGACATTTTCAAGTCGTTCACATTCAGGATCCTTTGAATGTGGCATTAATAAGAAGAAGAAATCCTAAACTCTAAATGCCAAAGCTATCTTCTGGTCAGTGAGCTGCCGGTCGTCTGTTCACGTAACAAACAACCGCTCCACTTTTTTATGTCAAGAAGCCTTAATTCTCTGATTTTCTCTGACTGAGAGCCTCTTTACGGAACAATGATCTTCCTTCCTGTCCACAACCTCGGCGTTAACCACGTGTCGCGTCTGAGCAGCGCGGCGGGGGGTTCGCTGCTGTTGGAGCATGAACACACAGGAACTGAGCTCTTAGTGTGTGCAAAAAAAAATAAGAAATAAAAAATCAAATTCAATTGAAACCCTCCTCATTTCTCTGTGCTGTTTGAGAGAAATGGCACGAAGGCTCCGCTGGCGTGACACTGTTGGCATTCATCTCCCCGGCGAGCGCGATGATTGTGCCGCTGTTGTTCAGAAGCTGTTCCATGGTGTGATTAACAAAGCAGAGGGAGATGATGATAGAGCTTCCAAGGTGTGCGATTGATTGCTCTGATCTTTGGCAATCACTCGCTGCCTTTTTTCTCTGGGGAAGCTTACAGTTGGCTTTGGGGTTAAATTGCAGGCATTCATCAGTCAATAGCGACAGCATTGGAGAAACCAGTGAACCAAGAGTTAGCTCGCCATGCAGCTGCTGTTAAACGCTGATTGCTTTTATCCCACAGTGGAAAATTAAAATGAAAACGGAGGCAGGGGGAGATTGCAAACGGTTTCTGTGCATAGGTCTGTGTGAGAAGGGGTTAAACACAATGACCAACTCATTTTCCCACCGTGAGTCCGGCAGAGAAAGTGCAACTGAAACTCATTCCGATCTTGAACTGTCCCGTCAATATCCGGCCGTTAAACTCAAATCCCTTCTCCTGTGCAGTGGGAGGGCTGCGTCACCGCTCAGCTCACCTTAGTGTGACTCCCAGTCATAAACAACTTATCCAGCTTGCACCAAAAGTGTCGCACGGCTCGGAACACATTAGCCAGATACAGTACAAAGGCATAAAGCAGTGACTCATGTGTGTGTGTGTGTGTGTGTGTGTGTGCTCTCTGCAGCCTCCAGCCCAGGGCAAGACCTCACCCGTTAAGTCACTGCAGAATGGCAGCCCCTCCAAATGCCCCCGCTTCATGAAGATCAGGAACTGGGAGACTGGCACCGTCTACAGCGACATCCTCCACCACAACTCCAGCAAGGTAAGACACATGGAAATGAGTTATGTTGGATAATGCAGGCTGCTGCATTTACATATCTGCACAAAAGAGAGATTTTGATGTCATAATTCAAGTCATAGCAGGGTTTCTATGCCACCGTTGAACCCAGAGGTGCCATCGTTTCTTCGCGCTCGACACCTTTCGCTGGATTTCTGACCTGTGTGATGCAATTGTAATGCAACGCAAAAACCCCGACATGCAGCTCTGCAAAAAAAAGAAAAACAAAAGTGCAAAACACAATTCCTCAAAATTGCAACTTGCTGTGCCTGGTCTTTGTTCTGTGACTTTAACAGTATCTTAAAGGCACTGATGTACATCAAATACAGTGTCTTGGTTGACTGAGCAGTCATTTAGCCTGCAGACTTACCAACACATAATTTGCAAGTCAAGTAGATTGAAGAATAATAGCACAGCATGGCGTGTCGTTTCTCTGCCTCTCACTAACTCTTCATACATTAGAGGACTCCTGCATGAACTGCTGGTGATTTATCTCGGCACTATTTACCTTCACAATTCTCTTTAGGCTACTTTAGTCTGTTTTTTGTCTCCAGGGCTGCAAGTAATGAAATATTTCCTGATTAATATGATAATTGTTTTCTTGCTCAGTCTATATAATGCCAGAAAATGTGGGGGGAAAAAAATACCCACACAGTTCCTCGACTGTTTGTGTTGTTTGACCAACAGGCCAAAACCCCCCAAAAAATATTCAATTTGAATGAATGAATGAATGAATGAATGAATGAATGAATGAATGAATGAATGATTTATTTCGGTTACAATCTATAGTACAAAAATTGAATTGTGCATTCAGCTGACAGAATTATTATACATGCTTGCAGTGAACATTTCTTTCTCACAACAAAAAGTTCTGTAACCGAAAAAGGAATCGGCTGAAGCCAAAGCTTATTTTTTGCCTATCCTGTACAATCCACAAAATAGCCCAGAATATCAGGAATGCAAAGAAGAATTTACAAATTAGATCACATGAGACAAAGAAAGACGACACATCACACCAAATCATGACCACATTAACAGAAACATCATTACCTTTGAAGTAAAACAGTGGAGCGTTTGCGTCTATGTACGCAGCAGGGACTCAGAAGTCTTTCATTAATGGGACTCAAATCCCAGTTCTTCATCTGCCCAACTTCATTCCCGATGACAGACTTAATCCTCGCTGACACAGAGGATACCAGCAAATTTCTGGAGGGATGTTCTGCCATTCTCCAGCTTGTTTTTAACCTGTCTTTGCTGGAAGGGTTGTGTTGCTCTACCTTTCCCTTTAGACCAGAGATGTTTTCTACTGGATTTACCTCAGGTGGTATGTTTGTCCAGGTCGTAGTTTTCACCTTTTCTTGTTCTTTAGAAACCCTTGTGATTCTGACAGTGTGCTTTGGATCGTTATCATGATGGATTATTCCACCTCGTCGGCCAGCGTTTTGGTGTATCCACAGACGTTCATGGTGCAGCTATCAATGTCATTTTACTGACTTTATTCACTCGTGCAGCCCCACATCATCACACTCCCAACTCTGTGCTGAACTGTCAGGACTAAGCATTCACTGTGGTGCTCCTGATCAAGTTCACACCAAACATGCAACAAATTTCTCTTGACATCATCTGACCAAAGATGGTGCTCCCAGTATTCTTAAGGACACTTTTTATGTTCTTTAGTAAAGCTTCATTTTGCATCTCCATTCGTAGACGTTGATGTCATGCAATGTCCATCGCACTGTCTCGCCTGTGCAAGAAGCTCCAGTTTCCATTGATGACCACAGTGCCAAATCAGAAGCACTTGCGTATAGTGATATGCAGACGTTTTGGCACCCCTGTTCAAAATTCCTGTTAATGCAAACAATTAAGCAAGTGGAAGATGAAACGATCTCCAAAAGGCATTAAGTTATAGACGACACATTCCCTTTACATTTTAAACAAAATTAATTTTCATCTTTTACATTTTCAAAGTAACAGAAAAAGAAAAGGGCTGCAGAGATGACGTCATCTTCCACTTGTTTAATTGTTCACATGAACAGAATTTTGACCAGCAGTGCCAAAGCTTTTGCATGCCACTGTCTTTGATTTTTCAGAGCTCGATTGTGAGAGTGACACATTGTCCGTTGCATCATTTTAGGAAAACAACCATTAGTGGTATTATGGCTCGTTCTGTATCTCTTGATTACTGTTGCAGCCGTGTTTCACTTTTATTTGGTCACTGATCTTCCTTTTTCCTTCTCTATTTTCATACAAGTTATGTTTTTTTTGCAGCAGTTCTTTTCCACGTGCAGTCAGGACACGGCGCATCGTTCCAAAAGTGCGAATGAGTCATATTATAACCACGTTCGTGCAGTTAGGCTGATTGGAAATTATAGCTGTTCTCAATTTTGTTTTTTAATTAAGGCAGATTGTCTACCTTGGCTGTCGGTGACGACTAGTCTGCTCACTTTTGTAACATTGATTTTTGTACTTTGGGGCATGTGCCTTAATATAGTGTTTCTAAAGTATGCTTTATTGTTGTTTATGAACAATCTCTACTCGTCAGCGTAGAGGAAATGCAGTTATTTAGAGATGGTACAACTTTGCATCAATTGGATTTAAAGTGATATTGCACAGAGGTGGACCTACTTCTGTTGTACACTGCATACCGAGCACGTGTGTTTTTGTGATTTATATGAATTAGTACTGAAACACTAGATAAAAGACAGAGGTTTCTATCGTTGGTTCATGCACTGTTTCCAGTGCTCCTCTGCTGAGATCAGCAATGAACTTGGTCCACTCGCAGCATATGTTGCAGACCGTGAGAATTTGGTCAATGCTTTTACCAAAGACTGTGGCTCTTGTTTAATCCAGTACAGATGGCGGATCTTACGCGCCGTAAACAGTTTACGTTGGCGCATGCGCGACTCGCTCTCGGGCAGTGACACAGGCCGACAAGAGCAAATACTACAACCACACGGTACAATATACTGAGTTTTTATTGTTGTGGCCCCTGAGGTGGTAACAATGGAACTGGCTCTAAAGCAGAGGTTCAAAACTGAGTGTATGCCAACATTACTGATCTGGATAGTACTGAATCAGAAATGTAATATGCCATTTGCTGACATATTAGAAAAGTGTAAATATGACACCGGATTGCCGTTATGACAAAAAAAAAAGAAATCACCGGCTAGCAGGACAAATGCATGAAAGGTAGAAGTCCTGTGTGTTCGTCTTTGTAGACGTGCACAGCTGTCTTGCTGTAGGTGACACATATGATATCTGTGACTTTAACCGTATCGTAAAGACCCAGATGAACATTGAATATGGTGTCCTGGATGACTGAACCAACATTTAGCCTGCAGACTCACCAACACGTAATTTGCAAGTCAAGTAGATCGAAGAATAATGTCACAGTGTGGCGTGCCTTTTCTCCGCTTCTCACTAACTATTCATACATTAGAAGACTCTTGCCTGAGCTGTTGGTGATTCAGCTTCTACTATTTAGCCAGAAAGTGTGTGTGTTTGTTTGTGTGTGTGGAGGAGAGGGTTGGATAAATCTGGGTAAAGCTTATGAAACAATGAATCCTTCAGAATAAACAAAAAAAAACAGCATATTATGCAGTATGGGGACAGCTCACATGGTCATAGAGTGACTCAGCATTTTTCAGAAAACAGCGATGAGAAATCAAGTAGGTGACGTTTAGTGGATTTTTTATTTTTTTTTGCCCAAGAATGCTTGATGCATTCATGAATCTGTAACAACAGAACCAATTCATCCAACCCTCCATCCCTGATCCGTCTCAGCAGCAGACGATTTCATAACCATTACAGAATAGTGGCATTCTCTCCCACGGCTTGTTTTCAGAGAGAGTGTGTCCAGAATCCTGCTTGATGGACACTCAGCAGTTTACTCAATGGTTTTGGACTTTCTGCTTCGACTTTATGGTTAAAGTCGGCATGCTAACTTTCTCACAATGATAATGTTGATACTGGTGTGATGTTTTCTATGTCCATGATCTTACTTTAGTGTGAGAGCATGTAGTACAGCTGAGACAGGGAAGGTCTTTAGTTTTCCATGTCCATCCATCCATCCATTATCTATGCACCGCTTAATCCTCATGAGGGTCGCGGGGGGGCTGGAGTCTATCCCAGCCGACTTAGGGTGAAGGCAGGGGACACCTGGACAGGTCACCAGTCTATCACAGGGCTACACTTAGAGACAGACAACCAAGCACACTCACATTCACGCCTACGGACAATTTAGAATCACCAATTAACCTCAACATGTTTTTGGACTGTGTGGGAGGAATCCGGAGAACCCGGAGAGAACCCACGCTGCACGGGGAGAACATGCAAACTCCACACAGAAAGATTCTGGTGCCCCATCAGGATGCGAACCGGCAACCTTCTAGCTGCGAGGCAACAGTGCTAACCAACTGTGCTAACCAACAGTGCTAACCAACTGCGCCACCTTGCAGCCCCGTTTTCCATCTCAAATCCAATAATTTGCTGAGAAATTTTGTTCAACCTTACATAATGTTTTCCGACCAAATAAAGAAATGTGTCGTCGGTATTGTATATTAAATGGACTAAACTTGGTTAATGTTAGAAAAATAATGGAGTTTGTGTTAAAAATGAGGACAAGAAATCCTTTGGTAATGAAATACAGTAATACTAAGTACATAGCATCATGTAAAGGAGTCTGACTGCTATTTGAAGCAAAGAGAGGCTAATGGCTGGACTGAAGGTTTTTAAAGGCCAGTTTGTTCTTTCCATGCCCACGGGTCTGCGAGGGCCTGCAAGTTTACATGAGACATAAGTTCCATCATTCCCTCTGTGGACGACTTTGTTTAGGCTAGAATTTGTAAACTGGATGCGCTGCTCGTGTGCTAACTACCCATGTGCAAGGAGAACAAATAGAGCTTGTGTGTAGGAGAGGCTGTGCGATGAGATACTCTGTCATCCACACCTTTATAATTCATCATTAGAAAAAAAGTTTGAAGTAGTCGCTGACTTTGGAGGAGCTTCGAGTGTGAGAAGTTGTAAATTCTCCAGAAGTCCTGTGCCGTGTCCGCCCACTGTTCCCGACACACCTCGGGAATAATCATCGTCCCGGCGCTGCAGCTCAATCTGTAACCAGCTGCTTTGTCCTGTTAAAAGTGCAAAGTCACAGCCACACTTTTACAATCATCAACAGGAACCCAGTGTTTTTTTTCTGTGTTTGATATTAAGGGCAATGCACAGTAGGCCTAGCCATACCTGAAATATCATAGGACTATAGTGAATCCAGCTGCTTACACATCTGCTGTCTATATACAAAGTCAACATCTGTCACCATATGAGGATGCGGAAACCGTGATTAGGCCGTAGTGGGGCGGTGCACATCAGTAGATCAGTACATAAAGCTTTGTTCAGGTCATCATAGATACAGAATTTCCAAAATAAAATAAAAAAAACATTGGACTCCAAATAGCGAAAGAAATTTGTCTAGTTTTGGTCTCAAAGGACGAGTAGCGTCTCTAAACCATTACTCAGGAGGGGAACCGGCGCTGAATGCTTGGGGACAAAGCAGCATTTCACAGCGCATAACTGGAAAAAGTCTTCCTTATTGAAGAATCCCAGTTTGAGATGTGCGGCAGTAACAGAGAGATGTATGCGAGGAGGTGAACAGGAGGGAGAATGATGCTGCAGTGAATCAAACCCACAATGAAACATGACGGCGGGAATTACTGCATTCACATTCCATTCTTCAGAGACACGCTGCGGCCGCTGGTTTCCATCTTTATGGCAAAGGATTCATGCCGCAGCCGGATAAAGAGACCAAATGCACCTTGAAGCTTTGTAGAACTACCTGGGGAATGTCACGGACTCTCCTCCACAGGTCCCCGACTCAAATGACCATCGATGGGAGAGCTCGAGGGCTGATAAAGATCATGCCAGTTTGAATGAATGCTGTCATTTAAGCACCAAATACAAAGATGCTGTAAAATTCATGCAAAACTTCAGAAATCCAGCTTTTCACTTTGATCATTGAGCTGTTTGCAATCAGACTTTTGGACCCACTGACAACAATACACCAAAAAGTTCCAACTTCTTGGTCAGACATTATCATAAAAAAGTGTTTCTGTGATACATTTTCATTCCTCGGCTGCTCCGTCCTTCCATTTTTTTTCCTCCCCAATTTTAACATGCAGCCAAAGTTTCTTCCTCTAGTTAGTAAGCCAGTCTACCCAGCACAAGGTGAGCCCCACTGTTTAAGCATTCATCCTCCAAAACACTGCAGCCATTTGTAAACAGCAAACAGCAGCCTAATTACTTTGGTGACTTATCGGACGGGCTGTTGTGTGCATCCCAATGAATGGCCTGTAATAGCATCTTCAGATTTATTATATATCACAGACGCTGCTGTATTCGAGGATGATCCGTCTTTTTCGAAAAGGACAGCTGGCTGGCATGAATGCCCAGAGCAGTATGATGAGCGGACGTGCTGGAGCACGAGTGATTCCTTTGTTTTATTTTTAACACTCCCTGCTCTACTCATCCATTTCCCCCCTTTTTAGTCCATCACCTCTTACTCAACTTGTTTTTCTGTCTCTGTCTTTGTTGTTCTCTTGTTCTCGCTTGTGCGCAATTATCATCTCTTGCCTTGCTTTCGTCTGTGTAGCTTTATATATAGACATATATATATATAGATATATATAGATGGCTAGATTAGACACACAGATGAGATAGCAAAGATAAATCTTCTTTATTCTAAAGGTTATTCTTTCTGAGATATTGCTATGAAAAAAAAAGACAACATTAAAAGAAATGCCTAATGGAGACGCAATTTGATACGAGTACGATACATCCTAAGAAATCAGCTAAAATGGGACAAGAAAAAGTACTGGCAGTGATCCTGAAGTAATGCTGCACCGTGAAAATGAAATACTCAAAATACTGCACCTGAAAATGTAACATTGAACATCAGTTGAAATGTTGAACCTGAAAATGAAATATCACACATGGAAATTTAATATTGCGCATTAAATTGAAATGTTGCACATGAGTTTATGCTTTATAAAACATGAACCAATGAAATATATTACATGAAATTAAGAAATTGCGTCTAAGAATGTTATATTGAACATTAAATTGAAATATTGCACATGAAATTGAAACATAAGAGATGCTACTAAAACTGATTTTGCACAAACTTTTAAGAGACAATATTGCAAATTATATTTTTATTGTTGTTGTTGTCTTCTTGTGTGCTTCCCTTCCTGTTTGTCCTTTGTGTTGATTGACTGCGTGTGTTTGTTGTCTTGTTTAGCCGATTGTTTTTTCACTCTGTGGGTTGGAGTCGTTGGAAGGGTCACGGAGGGAAGTTTTTTTTTCTTTTTTTTCTGGACACATTGCCGGCCCACATCCGACTGTTTGGACAGCGCAAGTGTGCGGTTCAGTGTAACGAGCCAATTTTAGCACCACCGGGGTCATTGTCAAATTTCCTCTCCCCGACTGCACGCCTGCGCTATCGTTGCTGTCGTCCATTCCTGCTCACTCATTCGTTCTCTCTCCAAGCTGGTGAAGGCGAACCAAAGCGACAGCTGACTTCAACTCTAATCATATTAAACTGACCACACAGGGTTGCTCTGAGCTATGAGCAATTTTCTCTTTGCATCTGTCTGTTTTCTTGTTGTTGTTGTTTTTTTTTTTTGTCTTTCCTCCTCCCTCTCTCCATCTTCCTGTCTCTGCTTAATGGAAGGATACCAATCTGTGACTCACTCACTTACTCATTCATTAACAAGCGTGCCAGCCATGTGCGAGTGATATAGTGAAAGAAAATGTAGCAGTTATATTCCCTCTATGCATTAAGAGATGAGAATTTACAAAAAAAATAAAAATAAAAAAGTCACGTTATTTGAATCAGGTGGAACGTAGTCGGTGAATTTGAGAATCTTTCAGCACAAGTGGGTGTCATTTATCAGACGCCTGTTGGCCTTGCATATTGAAATGCTGCTATTTGTCTTCTATCCTGGGTGAAGTAGCGACAAAGATGCAGCGATTGAGCAATCTCTCTGTCGGGGATGAAGAGTGGCTCTTAATTTGATGCTTGATAGCGTTCTTGAGCAAGAAAATATAAACGAGGTTGGCGCTTTGGGACTTCTTCTATCGTGGTTGTGTACTCATTAGAATCACACAACGGTTTAATTTGAAAGAGCAACAAGTAAAACAGTGTCAGAATTTTACAAAATAAAAAAAAAGGGGGTTTATTTTCTTGCAGATATGATAATTTAAGAAAAAAAAAAAAAAATAAAAAAAAAGGGGGTTTATTTTCTTGCAGATATGATAATTTAAGCCTGTTGTCTTGGTCTGTTTCGCATCAAGCAGAATGGAGATCTAGCAGGTTAACATGAATAGAAGGAGAATGTAATGTGGTAGCTCTGTCTTTTGCTAATTAAAAGGATCATTTTGCATTCATCGACAAAACACAGATAGACGCTGGAAGTGTCTCTCGTGAGTAAACAAGAAGTCTGCAGAAAGAAAACTAATGAATGTCCCTTTTCAGGAACACACACAGTTATTCAAACATCACAATTATTTCATGGCGGACCTTCTGTTAGTCTTACTCAATGCTGGGAAGTGTATTTTGTTGATATTTGCAGACATATTACCAGAGAATCACACCATATGTCATCATCACCTGGCTCCGGAGTTGCATGTTGGCGCTGAACAAACGAGCAGAATACATCCACCCAAAAAAAAAAAAAAAAACCCTCCCTCATCCGTCATCTGTTTGCCTCTTCAGATGCCAATCTGCACAGAAGATGTGTGCATCGGCTCCGTGGTGATGCCCAACCAGCACGCCCGCAAACCAGACGAGGTCAGAACCAAAGAGGAGCTTCTTCCGCTGGCCACTGACTTCATAGACCAGTACTACACCTCCATCAAAAGGCAAGCGTGGCAGAGTAACAAAGTTCAGATGTTTTTGCAAAGAGATGGGAAGATGGAGCAAGTAGCAATTATGGTGTGTGGTTTTGACTGTGTGGTTCTTATGTATGAAAACGCTGCTATCTGAGCCTGGCCAGTTGGAACCAGCTTGGCTAACTCGCTACTCTGGTTCATCGTGCTGGTCTGTACAGCTTTTATCTTCTGTCTGATAAACGAGTTGGTTCTAAGTCCGAAAGTCTTCCTGATTAACTGAGAGAAGTCACTGGCATTTAAAATAGCTTTTATCTGGAAAGATCTTTGACATTTTGGGCTAAAAAGTGACTGTTGTCAACTCAAATTATAGCTTTTGTCTAAACCTTTTTTGCGGGAGAGATTTTTTTTTGGGTTTAAAAAAAAAAGATTAAATTATAAGTATTAATATAGTTCTTTGTCATTTTTATGTGTGACAGTAAAAACTTGTAATACTTGGATTCCAGCATCTGCACATACAAGTAATACAGGTGCAGTTCTGGCTGTATAAACACACATTTTTCTTTACTTAGGTATGCATTTATTTACTTATTTTCAGACTTGATTTTTGTCGTGTGTACTCATCATACTCGTAGAGGAGGGCAGATACCCTCAATGGGTCAACAAAGTTTTATATTTCCTTTTAAACAGACATATGAACCTTCTGAATTCCAAGCAGTTTGTGGGCATTTCTTGCTCTGGTCAACTCATTGTGAGATCATTCTTCACTGCAGTGTAAAGCCCCCGCAACACAAAATTCTTCAAAAAACTCAAAAATGTCTCTTGTGCAGTCTGACAATTATAATGATATGCTTCTCTCGTATTTGCTTTTTTTGTAAACACAGCCTGCAGTTCAGTCTAGTCCAGCTGAAAATGCTCTTTATCATGTGATTGAGTCACTAACAGCTTCATGATAGGACAAAGGAGTGAAGATTTCTTTAGTCTGTTTAAAGCAAACAGTTTATTTTGAACAAATATTTAAATGAGGAATGTCAAATAAACTAATTTATTGTGACTTTAAGCGTAGATTTGATTGTTTCTCTAATGGCGTGTCACAGATGAGTAGTTCATGACCATCAGAAAGTAGAAAATCCTGCAGCTTTTTTGCTATTACAAGTTAAATGTTATAATTTGGGGGCAAGATTTGAGTGAAACAAACCCAACTCTGCTCGTGGATCTGCCAGGGATCTTCAACGGACTGCACACTTTCACGAGCAGCACCTCTTGCATCGTGCACCACTGTTTGGCCTTTCATTGTTTTGTGCCGGTGGACCCACAGGTATCGCTCCAAGGCACACGTGGACCGGCGAGAGGAGGTGACCAAGGAGATCGAAGCTTCAGGAACTTATCAGCTGAAGGACACTGAGCTGATTTACGGGGCCAAACACGCCTGGAGGAACGCTGCCCGATGTGTGGGGAGGATCCAGTGGTCCAAACTACAGGTAGTGTTCAGTTTACCTGAAATTAGTGTCTGTTTACATGCTGTTATTGACAGCCCAGTAAAGTAGTGGGATGCACTTCTGCTTATTTTTGCACTTTTGGACGTTGTTTGAGTGTTAAAGGCTAACTGCTGCTGCTGCGATCATGTTGTGAGAGATGCTAGAATGAGTTTACACATAAAAAAATGCAATATTTCATTTATATATTTTGGAATTTGCTTCACATAAATCTGGTTCTGATTGCTCGTTTTTGTGTTTGCTTTCCAGGTTTTTGACGCCAGAGACTGCACAACAGCCCATGGAATGTACAACTACATCTGTAACCACATCAAGTACGCCACCAACAAAGGCAACCTGAGGTAAAAAAAAGAAAAAAACACAACAAAACACACATGCAAACAATCTACAGCTCGTCCATCCTTTGTTTCCTTTGGGTTCAACTCTGCTCGTGTTTTCCTCCTACTACCCTTGTTCCTCTCTCCATCTGTCGCTCTAAGCGTCCCATCACCCCTCTCCATCTCCGACTACCCTGACTTGACCCGCTGTCCCATCTGTCAGCGAGCGCTCCGTCTCTTAGCGCTGTTTCTGACACTATCTGCTGCCCGTCTATCTATCCGTCGGCGTCTCAGCACCAATCGCTGCCCTGCTGGTGAGGCGGCAGACCTTGCTAACAAGCAGCCATTTGTCAGACCTGCGCGGCGCTCACTCACTTTCTGCCAAGTCCTAATCACATGTGACACCTCCTATTTACTTCTTGGATGATGGATAGCTTCTGACTCATTACTACACTTAGCCTGGCCTTCGGAAGACAGCTCGGGATACACATGTTGAAAAGAGCCAGCACAACATCCAGGCGGCGGCTCGCTCAGTCTGGCTCGTAAATAAACACACAGGCATGTAAATAACAATATACTGTGATAATTCTGGAGTAGCTTCGTTCATCGTTAATCACCTGCTAGTATTAGAAAAACAATATAAACATGCTGCAAGGAGAGGTCAGAAAATACTTAACCCAAGACAGTTTGTTGTGGAAAACTGTGTTTTTTTCCTGCAGCAAAACAAAGAGATTATTATGCGAGAACATATCAGAATATTATTAAAGTTCATTTTTAAATTGGTTGCAAGTGAACAAAAATGCATCTTGCACATTGCAAAATAATATGATATTATACCATCAAAGAAGTTTATTTAAACTGTTCATACATGATTAATGAGATGAACAATCTAATTAGGTGTTTTTTTTTTTATCTTCAATAATGATTTTTTTTTTTTTAATCAATTGGAGATGATGGATTTCTTTTGATCATTTTTAAATTAACCTCAAATCTGAACTTAAAGATGCTGAAAGGTTATTACTGACAGGTTTAAATAATCATTAATATGATACTTAGAGGTGGGCTTTTGTGCAAACTGTCTGCAGCTCCTCACTATAAACAAATGACCGACAACATAAGCAGTGAAAATTAGTTTTCACCTCATTGTTCTTACTATTTGCTCAAAAGCTAAAACTTTTATTAGTCATTAGAGAGCCAATAATTAGAACTTGTTGCTAATTTTCCATCATGCTGTTGTTGTCCTAGAATGCAGTTATGACGTTAAAAACTCCATGACTGATTAAAAAATGTATGATTCACCCTCTGAACCTCAAGCAATTTCATTTTTTCATTCCTGTCACATTTTCTACTGTCTGTCTTTTTCACTGCAATGTGACGTCCTGCATCTCTATGGAAACAGCACCAAACATGGCTGAAAGTAGAGCGAACTTAGAAATGTCTGCAGTTAGAGAGGTGTATGTCATAGAAAAAGAAAAAAATGTGTATTTTATTGCTTATTTTACCAAAAAAAAAGAAACTGCAATCAATATGTACATCATTTTTCCAGGTGCCCAAATGTTGCTAATACTGGATAAAATTAAAAATGTTGGCTCCACAGACTATAGATGTCTTACATTTTAGTTAGTTTCATATTCGTCTCCTATCTGCTCTGCCTCAGCACAGTCTGCTGTTTAAATGAATTTCTGTCAAGTCACTGTTAGTCACAGCTGAGTCATTGATGGCTTCTTGGTTTCTGCTGAGGAGCACACAATTTTTCATTTTTTGCATAATCTAATTAGTGCAAACTATTAGTTTTTGGTGAAATTTTAAACGAGACAAATAGATTTTTGACAAAATGTAGATTTAGATTTTTTTTTTTTAGCACAAAGGATTAGTTCAAGGACATGTCTGAAAGTTGGAAATCTGATGATTATTTCTGTGTTTACTGTTTCTGCCACTGACAAACTGTCCACTATGCCTTTTTCTTTCTTTCTTTCTTTCTTTCTTTCTTTCTTTCTTTCTTTCTTTTTTGAACGATAACATGCCTTTAACATCAAGTTTTGGAGGTCGGTCAGAGTGTTAAATAGTCATTTTACTCATAATATTCAGTATTACAACTTATAGCTTGTGATTCTGTCATTTTTCCATGTTCACCTAATAATAATCTGACAAAAATGTTCAGAAGGTTGATATAAAAATATGATGCAATTACATTTTCTTCAAATTTACTTCATGTAGTCTGACTGAGTGCAACTTTGCTATTTCTCTTTGAACTGATAACCCGAACACCAGTTATTATTACCTTCCAGATTGACCAACCCTATTCTTCACATAAAGTGTGATCATGGCAGCTACGACTATTTGTTTCACCAGTTCATGATGCGACGCTTTGGTTTTCGTCACATGTGGATTGTTTAACACTGGCCCAGATTCACACCAGCTGCTTGGTGTATTCCCTTTTCAGCGACTTACAACCAGCTTAGCAGCATTAACACTTTTACCCGGTCGTAGCATTAAAACACCACTGGGATCAGCGCAAAGGTAGCTAAGCTTTGACACTGCTATGAGTCCTTTGACATAACATAATTAAAAACGCCTTCGGGCAGATTACGTACACAGTGCCGGCCATCTCTTAGCAATCTTGTTGCTGTTAATCCACACATAGTCATATATTGCATCTAATACTTTGCTTGGCCTCTAACTGCAGTGTGTGCAGAGACCACCTTGCTGTTGATGTGGTGTTGAACAGTTCAGATATCCAGTGTTTTGGTTTTTTTTCCTGAAAAAATCGCCAAAACCAGTATCCTGTGTATCCTGACTAACTTTTTTTGTGTTGCTGCTTTCTGTTTGTCTTTGTCGCAGGTCGGCCATCACCATATTCCCTCAGAGGACAGATAACAAACACGACTTTCGAGTGTGGAACAGTCAGCTGATTCGTTATGCAGGCTACAAGCAGCCCGACGGGCAGATCCTGGGAGACCCCGCTAATGTTGAATTCACAGAGGTGCGCATGAGGAGCTGAGTTTTGTAAAATCCAAACCTGCAACAGTTCACTTTTATCACGCCTATCAGCATTTGCATTCAGCTCACGTGTAGCTCTTGGTCACCAGATCTGCATGCAGCTCGGATGGAAAGCTCCGAAGGGTCGTTTTGATGTCCTGCCCCTCCTGCTGCAAGCCAACGGGAATGACCCCGAGCTGTTCGAGATCCCCGAAGACCTTGTTCTGGAGGTGCCGATCACACACCCAAAGTGAGTTATGCACACAATCCACAAGATCTAGCAAATGCAAATAATAAAAAAAAAAAAAACAAGAACAGAGGGCGGTCGCACAAAAAAGACATCCACCCACTTGCACATCTTTAAACAACACTTCTTAAACAATGGAGTATTTTTAAGCCAAGAAGTCTGATTTGGTTATCGTCACATTCCAACTGTGCTGATTATTCCCAGAAAACACAATGAGCCACACTTTATCTGTTGCTATGCCAGCTTTTTGTGGTAACCATGGGGCTTGTTAGCGAGATTTCAGGCTTCCTCCTGTTTTTCATTGTTATGTGTTTACTTTACTTTTAAGAAAACTTTTTCTTTTTTTTTTTTAACAGTGGTCGTCACTGTACAAAAGCCGTAATGCCCTTGAGATGTTAAGCATTAAGCTGCTGCAGCACTGTAATTTCCATAATCACAGCAAAGAATTGGGTATTATCGCTCGAACACACAAAGATGCACGCCGAGCTATCGCTACATCGCTGCACGCCACAGAGAGCATTTCAGAATCCCTCGACACACAGATCTCTCTGCCAGACTCCCCCTGAAAATTGGCAACTCTTGCTCCGTAGCCTGCATCAGCTGGCCCTCATCTCTGGCAGCAGCTTGGCACAGGCCGCGACCACCAACAGTGTCTCATCATTACACGAGATTAGACCCAGCACTGCAAATAATACACTGAAAGCAATGTTATCAATCCCCCTAGAGGTTGGAAGGACCGAGTGGTGGGAGGTAGATTGAGGTCCGACGGTTCTGTCCAGCAATAAAAAGCTGTCAAAAGTGGCTTCCTTTGTGTTAATGTTTGTTTTGGCTGCACTCTTTTTTTTTACATCATGTGTCTCTGGGGTAATTATCTGTGCTCCTAAGGATGTTAGTGTGTATTGCAAATGTGGAAATGGCCAATTTCCTGACCTCAGTGGGGAACGCAACGAATGAAATTATCTGAAATAGCTGCAGTCCTTCACCGTCGTCCTCCCTGTTTGCTCTGCCCAGGTACGAGTGGTTCAAAGACCTGGACCTGAAGTGGTACGGGCTCCCGGCAGTTTCCAACATGTTGCTGGAGATCGGTGGTCTGGAGTTCACTGGCTGCCCCTTCAGTGGCTGGTACATGGGCACAGAGATTGGCGTGAGGGACTTCTGCGACAGCTCACGCTACAACATTCTGGAGGTAGCGCGCCGTGCCAAAACACAGACTCATGATCCGCGGGAGAGATGAGGAAGGGGGGAAAAGAATTGGAGGCACAGATTGACTGAAGGCTTGTGCAGAGATGAGCATGTGTTGTGTCACCAAATGATCCAATCAGAATGCCATTCTTCTTCTAATTGTGCACGCCGAGGAGAAGGCTGATTAACAACACTTGTCAATAATCCTCGCTGTGGTTTGTTGCTAACTCGCTTAACATGGAAAAGAAAAAAAAAGACTGCCTGATATAATGTAAAATGTGCTAATTTATATATGTGCTCATGCATGTGTATATGCACTTAGAGGGGCAAATGGAATTACAAGCTCTTCTGTATCATTTACCAACTTAAACCTTGGAGAGCGTGCAGTATAAATATATTTGTAATAAGCTATATCATTAGGCTACCAGACTGTCTGCTATCTTTGCATGTATCACATTACTCAGACAAGTGAAACAGAGTGTTTCCCATCCAAAAATCTCAGACCAAACCAGAGCGGTCCAATTATGAAGAGCACTTGAGGGCGCACGGGTGCCAGCTTTGGCTGATTTGTCTTCTAAATGAAGTACGGAAAACTGTGCTTCAAGTTAAAAAAAAGAGTGCTTTTTTTTTTCCATTTGCGTCATTCTATATTTTATTTCTGTTGAATATTGTGCATGGTGAAGAAGAAAACACAGAAAAAGAGCAGTTACAGTAAACTGATGATTGCAGGTGTCCGAACTCTGATGAAGTCACAGATGTTGAGGAACATATAGAAAACGTTGAACTACTTCCAGTCTATGGGAGCACCTGCTGGATGCATGAAACATAATTGAATATTTCATTTGATTAACAAAATATAATCTATATAAATAAGTTTCAAAAACAAGAAAATAACAAACCTTGACAGATATATTGTCCCTGTGCCGTCCACAGTAAACCTTTAACATCATAGCCAAAGCTGAAGATACACAGAATATGTTCAAGTCAAACATGTACAGTAGAACTAATCAGAATCAGCTTTAATGGCCGTACACAACATACAAGGAATTTGGTTTCGGCTGTTGGTGTCGCCCTAGGAATTTGCACGAATAATAGAAATAGGAAAATTAAAAAATAAAATAAAGTAAAATAACTAAAGAAAGAAAAGAATAAAATACAATAAATATTAATAAAAAAATAAAAAAAGATAATAAGACAAATATATACAAGAATCTAGTGGAAAAAAGTATATGTACATTCGTGCAAATAGCAGTTGTGTCTTGGAGTGGCTCAGCTGTTCAGCAGGGTTATGGCAGTGGGATAAAAACTGTTCTTATGTCTGGTGGTTTTAGTCTGCAGGACTCTGTATCACCTGCCAGAGGGGAGGAGGGAAGACAGTTTGTGACCAGGATGAGTGGGGTCTGTGATGATGTTCCCTCTTCCTGGTTCTACTGGAGTACAGTTCCTGGATGGAGGGCTCCGATGATCTTCTCTTTCTAATGTGTTATATTAGCACTCAATACAGCAATCGTGCTTTAAAATCTAATTCTCAAGTTCAGACTCCAAGAATTTCCAGTTCAGGTTTAGTTAAGAAAGAAGAAATTTAGTAATTCATGCTGCCAATGAGCACAAAGATTTCCACGTCAGAACTGTTGTGTCAATCTTTTCTTTCTGTGTTGTGTAGGAGGTCGCTAACAAGATGGCCTTAGACACCAGGAAGACTTCGTCCCTTTGGAAAGACCAGGCGCTGGTGGAGATTAACATTGCTGTTCTCCACAGCTTCCAGGTACGAGCTTCATTTATTTAAAGCATTACAACAACAGAAACGCTTGTTAAAGCTGGAGTAGGGAGACATTTTTGGGATAAAACAATAAAATTTGAATTTAAAACAAACGTTAATTTGTGAGTTCTCACAGAATTCAAACTCTACTCTCCTCCTTTTAAAAACACCATTGTGTGAACTGTGATTGACTGAACTCTAGATTTCCTACAACCTGAAAATGGAGCCAAATTGGAGCCAAGACAAGTTGCAGGAATCAGATGTTTGAATTGGATTTACAGTGGCTGCAGTCAAAAAGCCATCTATAACCATCTATATATAAACTTTTTAAATTGATGACAATACACTTGTCAACTCTATACTTAGTGTGTAGCAGGTACTCATAGTTTTGCCACATTTAAGCTGAATGCACATGATTATGTTCAGATCTGGCTGTTTGTTTGTCCCTTATGAGTCACACCCAATGTACACATGTATAGATAGATGCTAAAGTGGATTATAACTCTAAAAGCAATCATCAGTCAAATAAAACATGTCGTATTTGGTTCTGAAATGAGTTTTTCTTTCCACGCTTTCTGTTTTCAGTCTTGCAAAGTGACCATCGTAGACCATCATTCAGCCACAGAGTCCTTCATGAAGCACATGGAGAACGAGTACCGGGTTCGGGGAGGTTGTCCTGGAGACTGGGTCTGGATCGTGCCTCCAATGTCGGGAAGCATCACGCCTGTTTTTCACCAAGAGATGCTCAACTACCGCCTCACCCCTTCCTTTGAGTACCAGGTGAGAATATTCTGGAAGTCCTAAATATCATCTTGTGATGTTTTTTATTAGCTTCGCATCTTCCGACATGATGGCTTTGCAGTGAAAACAAGTCGAGGTTACTTTCTCTAGACTGACATCAATAGAGTGTAGCACAAGCCATGGGTTGTTGCGTCACATTTTTACAAACTGGTCCCGGGAAAACATTAAAGGGCAGTTAGAATACCCAGAAAACTCCTGGATACCACAGAATATAGCCTTGTATATAAGATATCCTTAATGATATCCCTGTTAGCTTAAGCTATCCATTTTAATGTCTGTTTTTCCATATGCAATAGACTGATCCTTGGAACACCTACGTGTGGAAAGGAGTCAACGGGACACCCACAAAGAAGAGAGCCATTGGATTCAAGAAGCTTGCCAAGTATGCACGCTTGTTTTCCTTCTCTGGCTTGTTGATAGACTCAAGGGTAAACTGCAACCCCAAATGTCAAATATAATAATGATGTGTGCATGGTAATTTAAGGCCAAGCGAGTAATCACTTTCCTGACAAAAAAAGTTAGACGCATGAGCAGGAAGCTGGTGTACTCAGCAGTGAAATTCATCCAATCAACCCCTCGGGGAGTAATCAGAGTTTTGTCTGCGTTTGCATGCACTTGTGCGCGTGTATGTTGTGCTATTAATATAATTGCCTCGAGGATATGACAAACTAGGTAATCACAATTGTCATCCATGCGTAGCTGCCTGCTACAGTGAGCCTTCCGTCGCTAGTTTGCTCGAAAGGAAGCGTTTTATCGGACACGTAGGCACGAGCGAGCCCTCTGATCGTGGCAGGGGTCGACAGGTTACAAAGCGGATCGCATTTGATGTTGTTTTGATCTGTATCTGTATCTCTTCACCTTTCTCGCAGGGCTGTGAAGTTCTCGGCGAAGCTCATGGGCCAAGCCATGGCCAAGAGGGTTAAAGCCACCATACTGTTCGCCACAGAGACGGGCAAATCGCAAGATTATGCCAAAACTCTGTGTGAAATCTTCAAGCACGCCTTTGACGCAAAGGTACGCTTGCTCCCACCTTGCATCATCGTTTCCCCAAAGTTTGAGCTTGTGTGTCATTGTACCGATGTCTAATTGAAAACGGAGGAATTCAAAGACGCCGCCCCCCCCTCCCCCTTCCTCTCCCTGCTCTACCGGATGATGAAGCCGAGCAGATGCCAGCTGAGTACAGACGGCGAGAAGGGGTTGAAGGAGAAAGTGTGTCTTTTGTCACATTTTTTCTTACATCTCTCATGCAGCAAAAGTGCCTCAGGGTCAAAGGCAAGATTTAACCATCCAAGCGTGGAGCAGTGCAGCAGTTTTGAGACAAGATCCTGAAGCACCTCTAGTTGTACAAATCTGTTGACAAAAAAAAAGAAAGATGCTCTGCTCAATCATACACTATGTGCTTGTTTTTTTTTTCCCCCTCTGGGTCATATCTCATTGTCCCTTTCCTGCTTTCCCCGTGTGATCAATCACACAAGAAGAGATTCATGCATGCGAACGTGTGTGTCACTGACTGCGAGTGGGTGTGCGTAGATGGATAACAGGGCAGATGCTGAACGCCGAGGGGCAAATCGTCGTTGTTGTGGGGCTAAAGCCTGTTTTCTCTTCACGCCTTAAGTCCCGTGTGTGTGTGTGTGTGTGTGGCTGTGCATGTATGTGAAGTGCGAGCCCGGCCCGTGGCGGACAAACACCATCGCGCTGAGTGGTGTGCATCATGGCTGCTCGTTGTGCGGCAGCAGCATATTATCATCTCGTTAGAGACGAGGACAGAGTGGTCATTACAGCCTCCTCCTCTGCCAGCGGCTGTGTGTTCGGCCTTAATTTACACGCTCAAGTCATCTGTCATTTGGAGTGTGTGTGTTTATAGGAGACAAGAACGAGATAAAGACTTGCAACCATGTGCAAGATTCTCTCGGCTTAATGGTCTTTTCTTTATGCAGGTCATGTCCATGGATGAATATGATGTGGTCGACCTGGAGCACGAGACACTGGTTTTAGTGGTGACCAGCACCTTTGGAAACGGAGATCCGCCTGAGAATGGAGAGGTACATGAATATGTATATAATATTTTCTAACCAGTTTAGCACAGCTCAGCTTGATAACAAGCCTTCATTTGTTGCTGCAGAAATTTGGAGCTGCCTTAATGGAAATGCGCCACCCGACATCCAACACAGAGGACAGAAAGTGAGTTTGACCCCTCAACCCACCTGTGTTTGTATTTATTGATGTCAGTTCTCATCTTTTTTCTTTTTAATCCGTGTGAGATAAACATTGGTGTTTCATCTCTTTGTCCCCCCCGGAAGGAGCTACAAGGTCCGTTTCAACAGCGTGTCCTCTTACTCTGATACTCGGAAGTCCTCCAGCGATGAACCAGAGGCCAGGATTAGCTTTGAGAGCACTGGACCTCTTGCTAATGTCAGGTAAACAAACCAAACTAGATCAAATCAAACAGTCATAACAGGACTATTGTGTGATTTCGCCCGTCTAGAGAATGCCAAGCATTTAAGTAAATAACGGTGTGGTGACTTGCAGAAAAAGAGATCTAAAAAAGAAACTATGGTCAAGTCAACAAGATCAGCACATGCTCAGGACATGCCTCACATTTATAGTCACTGAAAGGCTTTCTTACAAGTGTTTATATCTAAGCTTAACCTTCTCAACCCCAAACAATTTCTGGATGCTTTCTTCTCTTGTCACGTTTCTGATCATTTTGGCCTCATTTTTCACGGCAGTATATGAAGTCCTGCACTGCTATGGAAACAGCACAGCCATGGCTAGAAGTAGAGAGAACTAGAAAGTCTTCTGTGCAAAATGACACATAATTTCACAAAATTTGGACTATTTGACTTCCATATTCCATATTTGACTTCTATCTGCGTAAACACAGCCTGCAGTTCAACCCAGTGCAGCCAAAGAGTCGTTGAGTTTTTGTCACGTGACTGTTGGTCAGAGCTGAGTCACTGATGGCATCACTGTCACATTAAGGAATGGAGAATTATTTTGTTTTTAGTGGAGTCTGGTTAGAGCTGCCGTTTTATTTTTTTGTAGAATTTTTCAATGAGACACGTAGAATAAAGCGCTTTTGATGAAATAGCACAATTTTAGATTTTTCTGAGCTCATGACCATCAGGAGGTTAAAAATCCAACTGTTCCATCTGCTATCACGGTTTAAATGTAGTCATTTTTGGCAATTTTCAGGCCAAATTACTTGTCAGAGATGAGCGAATTGAACATCTGATGATTCTCTCAGTTTTTACGGTAATTTTGGTGATTTTCTTTTAAGATAAGATTACTTTTAAACACACTGGGAGATTTGGGATGGTTAATAAGCTCTGCTGTCTTTAAAACTGAAAATCAGACGGTCATTTCTGATGTATTTCATTATATATATACTTGTGTGGGGAAATTAATCACTTGACTATTTCTACTCACCTGTTTTGTGGTAACTAGCAGCTTTAAGAGCATCAGTTGTTGTACATTTCTTGCCCATTGCAGCATGGGCGGGACACAGGGAAATATTTCTGCACCAGTGATGTCTGCTGGATGCAAATTAAATTCTTTTTTAAACACAGTCACAGCTTTGCCTTAAATTGGGAAACAGTTATTGACAAAACACTTTGACTGATTAATGAGTACAAAATACATGGACTGTATTTTATAGTCATTCAGTAGGAAGGCACACTGGGATAATCTTATTTCTTAGGAATACAATCATTTAAAATGCACAAGCTGCAACTTTTGTGATCCTTTTGCCAGTTTTATAATATGCCATTATCACACTTAACCACAGTCTTTGTCTAAATTTAGCATTTTCATTATAATCTTGCCTCAGTTCCCACTCCACAGGAGACTGGCTGTAAAGCTCCTTTGGGATGACAAAACTTATTGCACTGGACAGTTTGCTGATCTGTTCAAGAAGAGGAGACAACAGGCATTTTGCTCAAACGTGAATATGATGTAGACTGACTTCTTCACCGTGAAACAGGGGGACAGTGATTCAACCACCCTCTGAAAAGTGATCCATTTCATGTTTGCCTCTCTCCAAACCCAGACAGGACGAGTACTTGTAAATACGTCAGCTGTTTTCAAATGCGTTTTGAGAGTTTCTAACACGGGCTCAGTGGCGGCAGTTGTGTATGTTTGAGTTCTATTTTTTTTTATTTATCTCTACCTGCCTCTCTTCTATCTCCATCTTTTTTCTTTTTTTTTTCATGTGCCTTTGTTTAGGTTCTCAGTGTTTGGCCTTGGCTCCAGGGCCTACCCACACTTCTGCGCCTTTGCCCACGCTGTGGACACGCTGTTTGAAGAGCTGGGGGGTGAGCGCATCCTACGCATGGGAGAAGGAGATGAGCTGTGTGGCCAGGAGGAGTCATTCAGAACATGGGCCAAGAAAGTTTTTAAGGTTGGTTTCACGGGCTGAGACCCTTTGGGCTTGGTTAAGAGTAGGGCGCTCGGAAAGGGCGCGCGCGGTTTCTTTTTCCTTTTCCTTTAGATGCTAACGTGCTGCAATGTTTGTGCACAACCACAATAACAAATCAGTCAGCCCCAACAGTTACAGTAGTACTTCGAAGTTGTTTATAGGTACGTTACCGTGACAACTTGCGGAGGAAGGTATTCTTTTGCAATGTTTTGTCATCCCAGTGTGAAGGGACACCTTGTAAAAAAAATACACATATTCTTTCCTGTGTTTTTTTTTTGCCTATGAAGGCTGCCTGCGACGTGTTCTGTGTTGGCGACGATGTGAACATTGAGAAGGCCAACGACTCCTTGATCAGCAACGATCGTAGCTGGAAGAAGAGCAAGTTCCGCCTGACGTACACAGCCGAGGCGCCGGCCCTCACCGAAGGTACGCTAATCCTGCAGGGACTGAGTAATGAGTTGCTGATGGTTTCTCTGTTTTAAAAGGATACGTGCTAGTAAGTACCACAGCTTAAAATAACCATAAGGTATCTGTAGATGGATGGAAGGGTTATTGATCAGGACCAGACCACTCAGCCATTACATCACCTGGAGATCTGTGGCTCTGCTGCAGAATAAAAAAAAAACTGCTGATAGTATTGGAATCCATTTTTATGTTGTCTGTGCAGTAACTCTCCAATAAAGTTATTGTGCCCTGATTTTCTCCATCTAAATATACAGTAGTTACCCCACGTTGTACCCTTGAATCCACAAAAACACCTTCTGGTACTAGTTTTTATATAAACTAAAGTTTAAGTCTTGACCCTGGAACTGTACTTCATGAACAAGAGTGGTGTTGATCTTCTCATTTAACTCTCAGGGGGGGGAAAAATCCCATAAGTTCATTTTGCAAGGTCTAATAAATCCATACATAATATAAATGTTATGTACTAATATTGTTTCTGTCTGCCCACAGCGTTGTATAACATTCACAAGAAGAGAGTTTATGGAGCAAAGATGCTTGAATCGCAAAACTTACAAAGTCCCAAATCCAAGTAAGTAACACTTTCCAGGAGAAAAAAAATCATAATTAGTTGCATGTTTTGTTCAGCTTGTAAAATCATGCCTAATTGATCTAACTCCTCTGGTGTCCAACCTGCTCGTTGTGGTGTGTGAACTCGATGGAACAGACTGAAAGCGGTGCAGCGTTATTCCCTAAATCTCTGATCTCTTTTATAGTCGCTCCACCATATTTGTGCGGCTCCACACAAACAACCACGACAGCCTGAGCTACAAGCCCGGCGACCATCTGGGCATCTTCCCTGGCAACCACGAGGACCTGGTGACAGCTCTCATAGATAAGCTGGAGGACGCTCCGCCTGTCAATCAAATAGTCAAAGTGGAGTTCCTGGAGGAGAGGAACACGGCTCTAGGTGGGTGATGTTATCGGCGACGTCACGCTACTCCGCGAACACAGTACAAATCAGTTTGAAATCTGGGCAGGATGTCAAAATTCAAAAAAGGCGAGTAAGACACAGTCTCTCTTGCCTCAGCGGACACCACGAGCTCACACTTTAGAAAGGTATCCATGCCCAGAAATCTTTCAGTGAAGCTGGGTATTGGCAAACAGTTGTGGCGACACCGGGTGACTTAACTGTGATTTTCATTGTGACTGTGAAGGAAGGTGTTTCTTAAACACAGTATGTGATTAAATTTACCTTGACAATTAGACGCTCTTGATAATGGCTTATTAAACTCCCTGCCTCCTTCTGTGAAATGCGTTCTCCTGTTTCCAACAGCAACCATACTACACGAGAACACTGGACTATTTTAAGGATGAATCTTTATTTCGACCCTGTAATTTAGCAGTTACAAGCAGTATACGTAAGGACTCGATGTGTTTACCTACACAAACAAAAATCATTATCTTTATTTACTTTATATGAGCAGTTAAAGCTATAGATAAATGCATCAGTGAACTCCCTTATGTCGACTTACAGCTACACAGCACTGTTATTGTGTGACGTAAACTGATGAAGTGTTTATATTCTTCTTTACCGATCTCAAGAGACTTCCTGCTTAAATTAGGGTTGAATAAATACAAAAGGTTTACAAAATTTCAAGACAGAGTAAACTGTTTAGGAATAATTGGACTCAATCCACTCAAGCACGTTTAAAATCCCCAAAAAAACATGCCAAAGGGCCACGAAGGGCAACAACTCTAATGTCACTCCAGCGACCTTTCTTTAACCCTCTGAAGCAGTTTCGAGGTTTTGGGTTGTTTTTTTTGCTCCTGTCACATCGCTGCGAGTTAGTTTTTACTGCAGTATGAATTCCTGCACCTCTATGGAAACAGCACAACCATGGCTAGAAGTAAAGGGAACACAAAAATGTGTTTTGTGCAGTATGACAATTTTATAATGCAATAAATCACAAAAATAAAATAACACAAACAAACCAAAAAAAAACAAACTGCAATCAACATGTACATTTCCTTGAATGCTCACGTTACCAAAATTAAGGGGGGAAAGGTGACTCTACATACTATAGATATTTTACTAACGTTTTGGATTAGTTTCCATGCTTGCCTCCTATCTGCTGTGTGTATACACATCCTGCAGTTCAGCCCAGCTCAGCTTAAAAGTCCCTCAATTTTCATGACATGATTGTTGGTCACAGTTGTATCACTACTGGCTTTCCAATTGTGTTGTGGAATGCATCATTTTTAGTTTTTTTACAAAATCTAGTTAGTACTAATGGTGTATTTTATCACGTTTTTTTTTAAAGTAATTTTTAAGAAATACCCTGATATTAACCTTAGATTTGGTCAGATTTTTACAACTCATAGCTAGGATAGATTTGTGTCATTTTGACAATACAAAAAAACCCTCATGCCTTTTGAATGTGCTGCAAAGTTTTGGATTTGAGAGGATTAAACAGGATAATCTCATGTTCTATAACGCAGTTTGCATGTTGCAAATTTGGTGCGTCTGGTTCTAAGCTAATATGACAACTGTAGATTTGACAAAATATTAAATCAAGCATTGCATGTAACTTTTATTTTAGCCACTTGAGGGCAGCAGACCAGACTGTTGACAATATGCGACCTTAAGGGTGATGTGGAGAACATGTTAGCAAAGATTTAGCTTCCATTTGGAGAAGCATCTCAGTTCACTTGACCAACACGTTTTCTCATCTTACTTTTGTTTTGATTTGAAAATTTTTAATTTTAGTCAAGGGGCTGCAGGGTGGCGCAGTTGGTTAGCACTGTGCCTCGCAGCTAGAAGGTTGCCGGTTCGCGTCACCGGGATCTTTCTGCGTGGAGTTTGCATGTTCTCCCCGTGCAGCGTGGGTTCTCTCCGGGTTCTCCAGCTTCCTCCCACACAGTCCAGAAACATGTTGAGGTTAATTGGTGATTCTAAATTGTCCGTAGGTGTGAATGTGAGTGTGCTTGGTTGTCTGTCTCTAAGTGTAGCCCTGTGATAGACTGGTTACCTGTCCAGGTGAACCTGCCTTCGCCCTAAGTCAACTGGGATAGACTCCAGCCCCCCATGACCCTAGTGAGGATTAAGCGGTGTATAGATAATGGATGGATGGATTTAGTGGTGAACCGAAGCAGTATTTTTAAAACTACAGGCCAAAAGGAGCTGCAGAGTTTGGTTGATAGTTATCTGGGTTTATTACTCTTTAATGTTCCACATGATCATTTGATCCACCGTTAATATATATGTAAATTAACACAGCCTTAACATTTTTCTTGTCTGCAGGTGTGATCAGTAACTGGACAAATGAGACTCGTATCCCTCCCTGCACCATCTTCCAGGCTTTCCAGTACTTCCTGGACATCACCACTCCGCCGAGCCCCGTGCTGCTGCAGCAGTTCGCTGCTCTGGCAACCAATGACAAACAGAAAAAGAAACTAGAGATCCTCAGTAAGGTAAATTCACTTAGTTAGCATCAACACTGACCTTTAGAATTATTGAGCCGCTGCAGTACTGAGTGCTAAGCCTGGGTCGTGACCACACACGTAAGGGATTTGTGAAATATGTGCATAGGCTCCATCCAAAGATATGCTGTCTTGTTTTCCATCTGACAGCCAAATGTATGCAGACATTATTCACTTTTTTATTAGAACTCTTTTTAAAGCACCAGTCTATAAAAAGTCACCATGTGTTTAAGGCTCAGCAGCAACCAACACACTCATCGTGTTTGCTCTGAAAATATGGGAGATGGCTTCTGTGTCTGCGAGCCGATTTGATGCACTTTGCACCGATGGAAATACGTACAGTAGGAGTTAGCTGGCGCCAAATTAAAGCGGTTGATCGTTCTAACCCAGAGCCGTTCCCCCTTGCAGTGCCTCCCACAGTTCACTCTCCATTTTTGTCAATGTGTAGAGAAGGCTGGATGAGGCCAAGCAGTGACTCATATGCTCATACACAGAATCATTGTCACCAAAGCGAGAGGGAAAGATGGAAGGCTTCTGCATTCGGAAAAAGAAGCTGTACAGTAGAATCAGCACTGCAGATCATTTTTATTTTTGTATGCGTCTAATCTCCAGCTCATTTCTGGACCAATGCAGAGATTTCTGACTTTTTTAAAACCTTCTTTTTAACATGCAAATGCATTAGAAAGCAAACAAGTTATGATTCCTATTTCCAAAAGAATAAAAAAAAAAGGGATTCATTATTAAAAATATAGCAGCTCCTGAAACGTGTAAAGCCCTGACACCCCCTTCTGTTTATCAAGGTCGAGAATCGCAGGCGCCAAAGTACTTTTGCTCTTAGATTTTTGGTAATTGTACATAGTGCGCCTCCAACTGTGTTTTAGGCTGAGAATGGAGGCCACACCGGGCTTCCTAATGGGCACTGTGTCGCTCATTAGCAGCTTGAGAACAAAGCAAAAGTCGGTGGCATATCAAAGTTTTTTTAGCCCGGCGGCAGCGCTCTAAATTTATCGCGTCCAAATGTCAGTGATGACACACAAAAACAGTTGGGCAGTGAATGGTGAATGGCTCTCCTTGTGGCTGCCTCCTTGTCTCGAGTCGGAAATATTTACGGATCTAAAAGAAGAAACTGTCTTCTGCTTGTTCTGCTGTTGTGGCAGTTGAAGTGGTTTCTTAATCAGGACAATTGAACGACTTGGCAAAGCAAAAACTACATCTGAAGCCTCTTTTTGGACACGTCGGGTTTACGTCTCAATGAACACTGCAATTCCTTTTGCATAATCTCACCAGGTTGAATGTAGTGACATTTCTGTACACTTTCAACACAGCACAAGTCTAAACTGCATTATTAAACAGGCACATACATACTTTGAGCTGTATGACGTGATTTAAGGAAGACTTTTTCCACATTTCAGGACCAATTTTAGGTCCAAAAGCATCACAGATAGCAACAAAGATACAGCTCACATGCTAAAATTACAACTTCAGGTGTGCATCAATCAGGTTATGAACATGTCAACACAAACAAGAACTTCTCTGTGGTGTAAAAACAAACAAACTAACAGCTCAGATCATTGAGAATCACCAATACTCATCTTTTTATTTTTTCCTTTTTTGAGATAAAATGTTAGCAGGAGCTAATTTGCTGCATCCAGTTGTTTAAAGGAATCTTTCCCTTGAGTTATTTATAAACCTGCAGCATCGAGCAGCAGCAGGATCCACAAAGTAAAAAAGTTGCATGCATTTACAGATGTGGAACAGCACCTTAACTTCATTCGTAGTTATAAATTATACCCGACACAGAGACAGCATCAATCAGGATTTAACGACAAATCCTACGGTGTGGCGTCTCACAGAGCCACCGTTTATAAGCCACAGTTAAATCGCTTGTTGCATGGTCTTCATCCTTTGATTGAGTCCACAATTGTTGGGATATTTTCTATTTTACTGTTCCTAATGTGGTATTGCCATCACACATGGACAGAATTTTAAATTAGACTATTGGTTATTTGGGCAGTTTGATAAGCTTAGTTTAGATTGAGTCTTTTGTTTGCTGATGCATTATTTTGCCTCATACATCACTTGATCTCTCTATCACTGTGGTGGAGACTGTTGATTGAAGCCACTCGAAATATTAGCACTAAAGAGACAGAATGCTATCACTTCAACACACTGATAAAGCCAACAACGCTACCGCACAAAACCCATATCTGAAAAGCATATTCAACTATGCTTAATCCCACTTTGTCCGTCTTGTTGACACCACAGGGCTTACAGGAGTACGAGGAGTGGAAGTGGTACAACAATCCCACGCTGGTGGAGGTGCTGGAGGAGTTCCCCTCCGTCCAGATCCCCTCCACTCTGCTGCTCACCCAGCTGCCCTCGCTCCAGCCCCGCTACTACTCCATCAGCTCGTCTCCGGACCTGCACCCAGGAGAGATCCACCTCACCGTGGCCGTGGTCTCCTATCATGCCAGAGGTAAGGAGCCACTTCTTGAGGAAGGGTTGCCTTTTTTTTCCCAGCTCAAGAACTGCTTTTATGCCTCTCCAATCATTTTAAAGTGGCGTCGGTGTAGCTTCAGTTATTGTGGTCCTCCCAGCTGCCTAGGAAGGTAAACTTTAGTGGACCTGTGAGGCTTTTGACGGTCCTGAAATTGGTCTTCATCACTTTTCTCAGCATTTTAATCACATGCTGGGGTTTGAAGGAAATAGTATTTTGCAGCGAGTTTTTACTCAAAAATATCCAGCGTGTGCTCAGTTTATGTGGCGGATAAAAGGCGCTGTGCCGCGGCCTCTTCAAGGCTGCTGCAAAGGCTCGAGAAGTCAAATGACTCAGCGTCTCTGAAAACTCTGATGGCTCAAAGAAAATTGATTAGCAGTTATCTTGAAAGCTTCATAGGGCAGCCAGACCACAGCTGTAATTACGAGAAACATAGATTTAAAGGTATGTCAAGAAGATTGCAAACTTCTAAGCAGATTTAATGTAGAGATATATAACACAAATAAGACAAAACAGGTAAACCAGTCCGTCTGACAGCATGTAGAACGCATTAGATAGCCAGGCTGAGTGTAAGCTTTTGTGCCCGGTGTATCACAAGGCTCTTATGGCTCCACCTTTGCAGTTAGCATCTATAATCTCAGTTTTTGAAGGAGCCAGCAGCGAGCATTGCCATAGCAGCTCACTGCTATTTTTTCTCACACGCAATGTGCACTTGTGCGAGCGTATTACTATGATTGTCTAAGCAACAGCTGAATTACTGCAATTTCCCTTTAGAGAGAGAGCAGGAGAAATGGCCCTAGCCTTGCGAGTGTGTTAGGGCCACTCTTCTCCTGTTAGTTTGCACACTTAAAAAGAGTGGGAGGGGAAAAAGGTAAAGTGCCTGCCTGGTAATCATCCCTTTCAGATGGAGGGGGGCCGATCCACCATGGAGTGTGTTCGTCGTGGCTCAACAGGATAGAGAAGGGGGAGATGGTGCCGTGCTTCGTCCGAGGGTAAATATCGGAAACCTTTCTACCAAAAGAAGTTTGGCATTTTTGAAAATTTGCTTTCTTGTCAACACTTCGACGAGAAGATTGATCCCACTTTCTTCTCCATGTGCTAAATCCGTGGCGACAGTCAGCCCCTGAATGAGCATAAAGTCTGAAAGGTTAAAAAGAGCTCGCTGTCTAAACATCACAAAATCTGTCCCACTGAATCTCACTAATTAGAACGTCTTATCATGTTTGTTTGGATTGTTCAACAGCAAAAGAATGGAAAGTTGCCATTGGTTTGCACTAAATGAACAAGATAAATGTGTCAATTAGCAAATTTAGAGGTATTCTAGGAAGATTTTTATCACCGCTAGACAGAGATGGGGGGTAGCATTTTGTGCTAAACTACAAATGACTGTTTCTTGATCATCCACGTCATGGTGATCCAAGAAGCTTCAATAAAGTCAACTGAACTTTATATTTTTAGTTGTTGAAGACGTCTCATCTCTCATTCTCATATGTTGTCACCCCTAACGTACAAGGCTGTGGGCTCATTAACAATCCAACTAAGTGTCAGTTTTTGTGAAACTGCTCTGTGATAACTCAAGATGTTAATAGTGGTCACTTTCTGGGAAGAGATCTCAAGATTGCATTATAAGTACCTGATAACTGGTGTCCCCCTTCTCTGTTTCGAGAAGGTTGTTCTTTCAGTCTCTTGGACGAGATGTCAAATTTCTTTAATAACCAAAAGTCCAGTTCTCTTATACTGAAGATCTGAACATTAAATGAGCACCCCAGCTTCTGAAAGTAGCTTCATATTTAGCACATAGACATGAGAGTGCGATCAGTCTTCTCGTCTAACTTTTTGACAAGAAATATGTGAAAATATATGAATTTCATAGCCTTTGTGGTCACTTTTGGGATATTTTTTCATGTATTTTTTTTGTCTTTTGCATTGTTTTAGTGCACCATCATTCCAACTCCCCAGAGACAGCCAAGCACCGTGTATCCTGGTGGGTCCAGGAACCGGCATCGCCCCATTCAGAAGCTTCTGGCAGCAGAGACTATATGACCTTGAGCACAACGGTTGGACATGTTTCTCTTTTTTCCCCTCCTTACTATTCCTTAGAGATTTATTTGTCACTAACTTGTAGAGAGGCTTTGTGGTGGATTTTCACTGCTGTAAAAGAACCCATAGATAAAATCTTCAATTTGACGTCTCATTGTGAAAATATCCAGGACACGCCGATGGATTTATTCTTCCAGTTAAAACGCTATCGCACGCGTCTCGGTGTAATAATGGAATTTAGACCAAATCCCTGTCAGGGGTTCAGATAATACACTATCTCTTGACGTCCTCCGTTCTGAGCAACACAGTCACTCTGCCTGTCATCTCCAAGGGATTGAGTCGTGCCCCATGATCCTGGTGTTCGGCTGTCGGCACTCTGAGATGGACCACATCTACAAGGAGGAGACCATCCAGGCCAAGAACAAAGAGGTGTTCAAGGAGCTCTACACGGCCTATTCCAGAGAACCCGGCAAACCAAAGGTACAAACTGTCTGGAGCCGGCTTGTCAGAACTCTCTCTGGACGGCTGTGTGGGTTTAAAACAAATTCACAGAGTAGAGAAAAGGCTCAATAAAAACTGCTGTGGTTATATTCTAAAGTGTCCAATTGACACTGCATGTTTCCAGTTTAACACTTTCTGCTGTAGTTTTCTTTATGCCTCTGCTTGCTTTGCTGTGCTGAATGACTGGTTTCACTGTTAGAAATCACAGTCAGTAGCAGAATTTAATTTAAAAAATTAAAAAAGGACCCTACAGAGCATAGCTTCCCATTACTCTAAGATTACTTTGTTCCACCATTTTTTTTTAGCTTTCAGTTTGCCAATTTGACTTTATTCCATATCTGTGAGCAGCCTCCCAACTCGTTTAATTCACAATATTTCCTTCCCTGCTTTTTTTTTTTTTTTCTTCTTTTTTCTCCTCACACTTGACTTCTTGGTGCACACTCATCGTTTCTCCTCTGCCTCTCTGTCAGAAATACGTACAGGATGTACTGCGCGAGCATCTGTCAGAGACAGTGTACCAGTGCCTGAGGGAGGAAGGTGGACACATCTATGTGTGCGGGGATGTTACGATGGCCGGAGATGTTCTCAAGACTGTCCAGCAAATCATCAAGCAGCAGGGCAGCATGAGCCTGGAGGATGCCGGCTTCTTCATCAGCAAGCTGCGGGTAAGAGATGTGCGACACTGTCAACATGATATTCACTATTAAATCCCATCGAGGAGGATATTGATTTTAGTTAGAACCCGACATGAGGTAGATGAAAGCTGTGTAACCAGGCGCCAAGCATGGAACAAAGATACAGCACGTTGAGTCATTATTTAAAACAAAAAGGTTCAAAACACCACCCACTGGATTACTTTCATCAGTGAACTCAAGGGTAAAAAAAACAAAAAGAATCATGACACACGTCACCACGCCTACCACTACACACTCACCTGTGTAGTAAACACATGAATAAGTGATTGTGAGCGCCGCTCGATTCAGTTCGTCATTCACTGCATCCACACAACACCTGCTCACCCACGTGTCCTGTCACCACCAGGATGAGAACCGCTACCACGAGGACATCTTCGGCGTCACCCTGCGCACCTACGAGGTCACCAACCGGCTTCGTTCGGAGTCCATCGCTTACAACGAGGAGAGCAAAAAAGACTCAGATGAGTAAGTGGGATTGGGAGGATTTGTCTGAGAGAGCGCAAAGAAAAGCTGCTGTAAAATGCAAATCGAGAAAGAAATTTGAATAGGATGCAAAAGGCACACAAGAATCAGTAAGAATCCTGCTCCAAAAATCGATAAATAACCAGAAATCTACTAGTTATTTGGCCTGCAGATGTGGACAAACCAAAGCGCTGCATAGACACACTGACTACTTGACAGATTGAGAAATTTCAGTTTTAAATGAGTAGCCCAGAGACCGCTCATGTTTCCAATGTGTCGTTTTTATGCATCTATAACTGCCGTTAACACGTACACGCACATATTTTGCATATTTTAAGACACTTGTGATCCAGTACTTTGATAAACGTCACACTCTTTACATTTTATAACAGGATTGTTTGTCTTAACTGATACAATTTTAGGAGTTGAGGTACAAATGCAGTTTCTTGCAGAATAGCCAAACAGCAGCCTGGCCAGTGGCCTCGAGGCGATTTGAGTCGCAGTCCTAGATCTGCTCAAGTAGCTATACTAGCATTGCGTTAATTCGTTAAGCCATTTAGGGACCCTGCTGACTCAAAGGCATGAATCATGTTTGAAAATAGCATCTCGTGCACCAAATGAAATCGGAAAGGAACTCGCATTCATTCATTTCCTCATGAGTTACTTACTCATTCACTCACTGTTACTGTATGTGTCTTTTTAGTGGATTTCAGGAGGCGTGGTCACGTCTATTGTCCACACATACACAGCCATCATTCATTAGGATGATGTGTTTTCTTATTTATTCATGTTTTGTTTTGTTTTTTCTTAACCAGAGCCTCTTCTTCAGATGTCAGATCAGTTCAAATTTTGAGGGGAAAGAAAAGACAATTGCCAAAACCCTGCAAGACTTATCTCAACCAGTGAGATTACCAGATCAGCACTATGTTTTGAGGCAACTTTAATCTGCAACCTGTAGTTGCTGGCGACGCCGGCGTGTTAAAACCCCTCGTTTTGGATGAAAACAGAGTGGGTAACCATAGAAACCTGCTGAGAAGGGCCTTTAAACTAACAGGATTAGAGTGAAAGCGAGTGGCTCTGTTCCATTTCTGTTTTTGTTTCCGACGTTATTTGTGCATATTCAAGATTAGATACTTCATATACCCTTGCCATGAGAGCAAAACAAGGGCCCTACATAGCCACTATGGCTCATTAAGCACCAACATAATGCATCACAGACGATGGTTCCTGGGTGGATTGTCACTTGAATTTCACATTTGGCCATCAAAGCCTCTGCTCGTTGAATGAGTAATGACTGTAACATCTCTATTTCTATGTCTCTGCTGCTCTCTCTCTGTCTGTCTGTCTCACTGTCCCTCCCTCTGTCTTTTCCCTCTCAGGGTTTTCTGCTTGTAGGTCGATGAATCAGGAGGCTTTCTGACAACAACCAGTCAAGACGACACAGCGACGCTGGTTAAAGAAATACTGTGCAATTTTTTGTACTGTAAAAAAACAAAACAAAACAAACAAAAAAAAAGGGGGTTTCTTTCTTCTTCTTTTTTTTTTTATACCACTTTAATGTTTCTGTTGGGCTCTGCGATTTTGTCTGTAGCAAGTTGGAAATGTTCTGTTTTCTGAGAATCTGTTTTGCTTGTCGATGGTACTTCCAAAAATTATAAATTGATCATTTTTGATTCATGATGTGTGCACCTAGTGTAATGACCTGCCTCATTGTGAATGCATGACCAAGACACGAATATACTCAAAAAAAATATATAATATACTCTGTGTTATTGTTAAAAAGGCTTTTATTGAGTTTTTATATTTGCAAGGAAATGTGTGGTATTGATAGCAAACTGACATTTCTGTTTGAATTAAGTTCACTTTGCTTGTTGGGAAGGTATCAGGACCAGTCAGATCTATTTGGGCTGTTTTTTTTATTATTATTATTGATATCAAAAGGCTTTTAAAGCAAAGTTAGAAAGATGTACAGGCATGCAGACAGAAAAACTGAAAGACAGATGTGTTGCAAACAAAATTTGGCATGTTGACAGGTCACCCTGAATTATAGAAAAAACAACAATTCTGTTACACCCTTAATAAATGTATTATCTTGCTCTTCACTGGCAATCCATCAAAATGCATCAGCCTCTGTGCCAGCGCTCTCTTCAGTGGCCTGTCTGTTTTGTCATAACATAATCTCGTGTGTCCCGGCTGCTGCTTGCCCGAACCTACAGCAGCTGCCAAGGAGTTTGCAGAGCAGCCACTTAAAAGTCTGACGTCAGTGCATTTTTAAATAATAAAAAAAAAAAACTATTTAAACTTCTTCAGGAGTCTCAGATTTCAGTATCTAAATCTCGATGTGTTCACAATGTGGTCCGATGTGCTGCCAAATTATATAAACATGCAGTTTCTTGAATAATACATGAATATTCAGCATCTAAATCAATAGTTCCAAGGAGTTGTTTGATATTTGGGGTGTTATGCGTACTCTCTTCAGGATTTCACAAGTCTGGGAGGTTATTGGGGTGTCATTTGTCTGTTTTTTTTTTTTCCTGGTTTTTGTTGTGTTAAGACAAGTCCAGCTTATTTTTTTGTTCTTGATATTTGTTTTTTTGCCACACACAATGTGGGAAGGCTGCATTTTTTCCCCCTCTCCAAGCAGCCTCGACTTAACATAAGAACTGAAAATGGGGAACAGCTGGACAAATTCATGCACCATAAATACATTAACAAATCGTCTAAGTTGCACAAACATGCAACTAAATGATCCGGCAGCCTTCATTAGCTCCAACCCCTGACATAAAATGTGTACAATTTTTGTGCTGCAACACGCTAATTGGTGAACTTTATATGTTGCTAGTGGGAAGAATTTGCCACCTGTTTAAAGAGCAAGGCTGGTTGTTTACCCTGTTTCCAGTACACTAATTGGCTCCTGGCTGTAGCATCATATTTACTGCAAACATGATGGGGATATCAGTCAAGAAAGTAAGCATCTTCTCCCCTTAAAGCATCTCCGTACCAAAACATTGTTAAGGAGAGCAAAAAAAAAAACAAAAAAACAAGACTCTGCCCAGATCATATCCGACAGCTGTCAGCTCGTCCCGTTCATCAGCAGCATCCTCTGCCTCTTGCCTTACATTAACTATTTGCCTACAATCATTTGTTCTGTCGTCTCTCTGCATGTTATTTTTATTTCTATTTTTTTTTTTGTTTCCCTTTGGCTCATGTGCCACCTCTTCACTGTGACCTGACACCTGCTCAGTGGCATCAGCACTGTGTGTGCATGAACATGTGTGCCCTAGAAATCATCTCTATACGAGCGGGTGTGAACATGCATGATCTCAGGTGTGTGTTTTTACGTGGTTGTTCTGCTCGTCGTCTGTTACCTCGTCAAACTGGTCAGATTTTAAGCTAAGCATGAATTTCGAGTCACGCGAGCCTGCAAATGTAATCTTAGGGACGATAACGGGCCCACGTGGCTTTTTTTAAAACATTTTTTTTGGCCTTTAGCGGCTAAAATTCTTCATCCAGAGATGAGAATCCACTGCCGCTTTGGTCATTTGCTGCTTTCCAATGAGTCAGGGTTGTAATTTGAATAATCTTTTGGGGTTTTTTTGATCGCCAACTCTGCATTCGCGCTTTTTCTTGTCAGCTTCTGAGTCCTGTTTTATTCCCTTTCTTTGTCTTTGATTCCAATTAAAGATAGCTGTCAGCATGATTCAATGATTTCAATGTGATTTTTAAACGTCCCTAACAGCTGCCGAGCATATGTTTTTGTGTATTTTTAATCATTATTTTTTTATTATGATTATTATTATTATTATTATAGGGACACAATGGGTGAATCCCGTTGTTCATTCTGGATGAATGTCTCCTTTATATATAATTTGTTTAAAATTGGTTTCGTTTAATTGGAATGAGAGCCGTCAAGAAAAATGTCTGTGATGTAAAATGTGCAACAAGAAAAGAATTGATACAAGATATAGCTTCTATATATAGCTTCTATATATATAAATATATATATATTAAAAGACAAAGTATAAACTATAAAGAGTACCACTTCGATCTTTTCTAAGAATGTATTTTGATTATGTAAATGAGCACTATGATTCTGCTTGATTTAAAAAGAACAAAAAAACAAAAAACAAACAAGGCCTATTCTATATGGTGTCACTCACATCCTTTAGGTATGAGGAAAAAACAGCGGCATTAAATAAATGCATGGTGATCTTCTGTCTCCTGTTCACATTTAAGAAGCTCTGTCTATTTACCAGCACTGTGTCGGTCAGTGAGACTGTATCGTGAGGTTGTCCGGCCTTTCTCACTGGCCTTTGGATTGGCAACAACATTCTCGAGGGGGGTTTCTCTTTCTGTGTTTGCATATCGCTGCTGCTATGAACAACTCTGATCCAATCAGCCTCTGCTATAATGACCTTTGTTGTGTACTTGATTGAGGATATTCCATTTTAATGCATCAACTGCAAGGACTTTGCATTTACTTACAAATAAAGAGAAACATTTACAGAATATGTCAACACATTCGCTTGGTTTGTTGTTTGTTTCTTGTTTATGTGAGACAGAAACCGGACTGGAAAGGTTTATTCAGGCGGTAGCAGTTGTTTAAGGTCGAAGCATTTTAGCTTGAAGGTCAGATTTGGAGTCTATGAAGAATTTCTACCTAAAAAAACTGAGTTGCAGCAAACAAGCACTTTGCCTCCCCTCCTCCTCCTCCTCCTCCTCCTCCTCTTCCTCTTCCTCCTCCTCCTGTTTCTGTAAGTGCTGGTCGTCATGGCTCTAAGAGTTTGCACTCAGAGAACTGAGATGTCACTCCATGGCAACCTGTCAACAAAACAAGCCATCCAAACTTTGCACAGTGACTCTGACCGGTGACAGACTGTCAGGTTGTGAAGCCTTTCTAATTAACTCTGCAGACTTAGGCCCTCCCTTTAGAGCAGGATAGGTTGCACGAGCACATACCACAAATCCAGTGCAGTGATTTCACTTACAGCACAAATATTTTACCAGCACGTTGGATCTAAAAACAAACAAGCAAAAAAAAAGCTAAATTAGAAAGTGATTTGCTGCATGCAGGCAGCGAAAAATATATCTTTCTCAGTATCAATATCACAGTTACTCAGCATCGAAGTCATGGTTCATGGGAAGAAGTTGGCCAAGGAGGTGCTGCTGCCTTCTGTGCTGGAAGACGATGACGCAGAAAGCGAGGAGCTGCAGCTGGGGGAGGTAGGAAGCCGACCGTCCAGCCAAGTCTGCAAACTCTCGAGCAAGGGAAGTGTGAACAACCAGGTAGGCAAAAAGAGAGAGAGAGAGGCCCATTTTTCTGAAGCCTGAGATTAAATAAGGCACAGTCGAGGCACTTTGGGTGAGCATTCAAAGCAAGTTAAAGAGCTGCAGGAGTATAATAGGTTTGAGAAAGCTGCATCTGAAGGCACAGCTCTGCACTTTCCTTGCCCAGGGCAAGGATATACAAGCCCAAAAATACAGGCTAAAGAGCCACTATTTCCTTTTTATGGATTGCTCTTTTGACCTGTGTACTCGCATGAATTTATTTAACAGGGAGAAGCTGGAGCTCAACCTTAAAGTCTGTTTTAATTACATTTTTATGTCGAGGGCTGTGCACTCTGTGGTGAGCAGTGAACGCATTACAGTTTCAAGTGCACAACTTCCGCACAAAAAGTGGCCATGGATCATGTGCAGGGCCGCTCACATGTTCGTATAATGCTATTTTTAAGCATCCTATTTAATCCTGAAAACAACAATGTATGGATGGTATGGTCGACCGAGGCTTATGCCATGAGCACAGCGATGAAGAGAGTGAAAGACAGCTAAAACAGCCTCTGGTTCAAAAGGTTAACAGGAGGTGGGAAGAAAGGAGTGGGAGGATGGGGAAGTATACTTACAAAGACTAGAAATACACAAGGATGCAAGCTTAAAGTCACAAGTTAAAACGGTCCATCCACATTGGTGGTGTCCAAAGTGTAGGTATCAGTTTTGTTCTGCTGGCAGCAAATCCATCAAATCTCCTCAGTCTGGCTGCCAACAACAGGCAGGTTTGACGAGTCACGATGTCATATTTTGTCATCCTCCATGCAGCGGAGATCGAGCCAGACAGAGGTTGATGTGCGTGGGCCAAACGACCGACGCTGTAGCCCTGACGGGAACGTGCTAGACGGAGGCAGAGGGGAGGCAGAGGAGGAAGAAGAGGATGAAGAGGAGAAGTGTGTGGTCTCTGATGAGGACTATGACACAGATTTGGAGCTCGGAGGTAGAGATAGGGGAAAAAAAGGAGATAATAGGGTGGGAGAGCGCTTAGATATTACGATAAAGGGTGTGATGTTCCCTCGTGGGGATGTGGTGTGGTGTCATATGATTGAAATTAACCATTTCATCGGCCTCAAGTCATATTCCCTATCAGGCCTCGTTTTTTTTTTAACAGCGAGCCTTGATTTGATCTGGATCCGAACACGCATTGATAAGGCTCCTGTCACCCCCATCTGTTAATCATTTTCCCTTCTGCCTTCCCATTTTCTCAATCTCTAAACGATTTCAGACAAGAAAAACAAAACAGAAACTCCTACATGCGCCCGCCCACACATGTGGAGGCCTGTTCTGCATGTTAATGATTTTCATCTCAGTCTTTGTGTCAGGCTTCCTTTTCAGCACAAGTGAAAACCATCTGGTATGAATGAGCTTCTCCTGACAGGGCGAAATCAGTCACAGGGGAGTTTTCAATATCACACTCGAAAAGGTCCCTCACGGGGTGGGTGGGTGNGGGGGGGAGTGTCACATCTCTGCTTTGTCAAAGAGGTGCTGATAGCCAACAATTGAGCCAGACACGAGCCTCTTTATTTATGTTGCAGGTAAGGAGGAGACATATGATACGACGGGGAGGACGAGCTACATGAGGGCGTGCGAAATGTTGCAGGTGGCGCCTGCCTCCTATTTCCTGCAGCACATGCAAGACAGCGAGCTGAAAATGATGCACCGTGGTCTTGGGCCGCAGGTACTTTAATCAAAAGTCAGGGACCGTTTTGAAATGATCACGCAGGAGAACGGTTTAGATTTTGATTTCTGAAGCAGACTTTTTGGAGGGACTTTTATTTATTCGCTGAGAGAGTTGTTATTTTCAGCCAAAATTTATATCTCATTGCAAGTCTAGTTCATTATTTTCATGACTTGAATCCAGGAGAGAGGGGGCAAAAAAATATTCTGTTGCTCGAGTTTATCAGCAGCCGCTGAGCTGCCATCTGTTCCAAGGTTCTTCTTTCAGTGACAGCTACAACTGTTTATTTAGAAGAAGAACTATTTATTAGAGAACTGAGTGCCAGTGATATTTTATAGTATTTTTATATATTTATTTGTATATTTTATATATTTATTAGCACTATATTATGTTGTTATTTTTGTTTCATAACTCTACCAATTTATAGGTCCACTTCTACCATATTGGTTACCATAGTTACCATGTATTTACCATATTAGAGAATAGGTTGAGGTACATTTTACATTTGTTCATGCTTTGGCTTTGCATTCTTCTAATTCAGTTTCATTTTTCTACAACATCTTTTATCGGATGTATCAACTGACAACATGAAAACTATGTGAAAGAGGCGCCTTAGTGTTTACGGAGAGCTGTTTTCTGCTGCTTTAGCATCCTTTATAGCTGTACTGGGCCTATTTTTCATGAAAAAAACTCTAATAGTATATATATATAATCAATCAATTTGAGTGATTTTTAAGCAAATAAAATCTAATTTCTCTGATTCCAGCATCTTAAATTTGAATATTTTTCTGCACTCTTCTATGACACAAAATTGAATCATCTTGGGCATTGGTCAACTTTTTTTTTTTGTTTTAAGAATTTTCAGACATTTTTTTTAGACCAAACAACTAAATTATTAATTGAGAAATGCATTGTTTATTTTGTGAGAGTAATTGTTAGTTGTTGCCATAGTTGATAGAGACCAAAAAAAACAAAGCGACAAGAGAAATTGAAAATTCTGGATGCTACAGAGAGAACTTTTCATTTACTCCAGGAAAATATCATCAACACTAAATGATACAGTTAGTTAAGAAGGAGGACCCAATGCAGGACAAAGACAAATGTTGAATTTTAACTCCCAAAACTCACTCGAGCATGAACAACAATCAGGCAGGTGCAAAAACATTCAGGAACAAACGCTGATGAAGTCCATAAATAATAAAACAAATCCAAGGAAACAGATTACAGAAACACTGGGACACTGGGAGCTGAACAAACACATTTGGCAAACAGGCAGGTAAACAGATGAACTGGCACCGACACAAGGGACGAGACGGGACTATCCCTGCATTCCAAATCACCTTTTCTTTGTCTTTTCAGTGCAGACTACACCTGTACTTACAAACTGTTGCGTGCAGCGTGCATACAAGCGGGACATACTTGGTCCTCATCATGATGCACCTCGAGCTTCGACTGTCTTGCTCATACATTCTTTGCAGTTTGTGAAATCGTCTGTCTGTGCATTTATTTGTTACACTGTGACGTATGAGACATGCAGCGCAAAGGATTGTGGGTCAGTCCTGGTATTTTTAGAACACTTCATTTGGCATGCCGTGTATTGGGACGTACTTATTCATCTTCTGGCAAACTATATAGTGTGTTGGGAGTGTTGGAACGCACCCATAAGGTTCAGCCGCCCCCAAACCCAAATCATTTTTGAACAGTCCCTCAGACAGTCTCAGCTTTAAAGCCTCTAAGCGGATCTTTCCTATTTTCTTCACCTGTTTCACTCATCGGATCAGTTTCACCTGAGGGAAAGCAACTCGAAACCAAACGTGCTTCCTCTCGAAGGAATCCGCAAATGTTTGAACGCTCTTGTGGAAGTGTGCTCACATACCACATGTGATTTAAAGGTCCATGTGGGTCTGAGCAAACGCTAGACATGTTCAATAAGATTATACTGTAATGCTATTTTAGATCAGACCAGACCTTTACTCAGCGAATGACTCATTAATTCAAAGGCACATCCTCCTGCAGGGCGACTGCACTGATCAGGAGAAAAGACTGGTTAGACAACGCAGCTGAGCTTCAAAGAGCTTCCAGCCTTTTCTAAGGAAATAGAACATGTACATACATACCTGTGCAGCTCAGTATACACAGAAATTGCATAAGTCTTGTCTATTATATTAATCTGATCGGTACATATTCAAGTGGAGAGCCTGTCGTCGCTTTGAAGCTGGTTTTGATGTAGCCTGCACAAATCCAAATGTAAATTTTACTCCTGAGGACAGGCTCTTATTTTTTAATTCTAAATCCTTTTCACCTTTAACCCATTAAAAAGTCACTTTATATATTGTCTTGTTGGGCATTAGCCACAATTTGAATGTAGTGTCTACCTTCTTGAGCTGTCATACAACCCAAAACGTACACAGATCTACTCATAATCAATTGAAAATGCACTATTACCCGTTGTATTTAACTGACAACACAATAGTTTATCTATTTAAACCAGAAAATCTGAAAACATGAACAAAACAAAACAGAAATTGTGACGCTTTCCACCAAACTTCTATAGTCCTGCCAGCCAACGACCATTACATGTGTTTTAGGTGGTTAATCAACGTAAGATAGCCCTGTGGCTGCACATCTCTGTCTGACGGAGTGCATCCTTTTGCAAATGTGCAAATACATTGCCCTAAAGTTCTCAGCAGCACAGTTTGACATTTTTACAGGCCTGCTGGTCCGTAATGCTAAATGAAAGTTGTAAAAATAAACCCGTCCCTTAACAAGCCCCCTTTCCCGAGGTTTCGGCTCCAGTAACATCATTCAGACAGATTAAATTGGATTTGAAATAAGTCTTCACCTGTCAGTCACAGAGAGCAGAGAATTAAAGCTTCCAAAGGTTACCTGTTTAATGTCTTGCAGATTGATAGGCTTCTTTACAAATCTTACAGAAATATACCCTACATGCACCATCCTCTGATGGGGGGCTTCTTCTGCATCAGCTCCACCCCTCCATTGTTTTTTTTTTTAAAGATCAAGTTAACATAAGGCTTCGTGCACTCAACTTTTTCATTAGCCATGCTAGAAACTATAATTTTCATGTACTGCAAGCTTCATTTCTGACCCACGCCTCCACACGGCCCCCTTCTGCCTCATTTGTCTCACACAGGTTTAATATTCCTCTCTCTCTCTCTCTCTCTCTGTTTCTCTGCCCACCTGCATCAGCACATCTACTCTTTTAACACAGATAAGAAAATATACTGCAGCGAACAAACAGAAGAATTTCACTTTGAGGGTGGCGGGCGGCGGGGGGGTTGCTTGTGTATTTGCAGGGCACCAAAGCACTGGCGGTTCCCCTGGTAACCAACACTTCAATACTGCGGCTGAACCTGCGAGATAATTGGATGGAAGGAATGGGCGGAGCTGCTATAGCCGAGATGTTAAAGGAAAATTGTTACATTACAGGTGGTTTTACTGGGCACTCGAGCACGCACGTAGTCTTTTCTTTCTCCTTTCAGTCTGCGACACTTTACTCTGGCAAAAAAACGGCCCCCCCCCCCCCGAACTCCCACTCGTGCGACATTGTCACCCCAATTATATTAACAGCACACGATTTAACATCTGGGGTCCCTGTTTTATATTTGCTAAATGTCAGATTGCGAAAGTCACATGTGCACTTCAGGAACCTAAGGGAGGATCCGTGGAGAATGACTCCAATGACTCAGACCAACCCTTTAGGTTATTTTGCATCATTCTTTGTCATGTTCTGTTACTCAGCGACAACTTTATGTACGTTCAGTGTCGTCGTAAATGCATATTTTGCAGCTTTTCAACACACAACAAACTAGAACTCAGAAAAGTTCAAGGTGTGTTGCCCATGCAGGAAAAGTTTTCAGGAGCTACAAGCCAATATCAGCATGCTAGCATGTGCAGCAATGTTAATGATGTTCACTTTGTTTAGTCATTAGCATGCTTGCGTTTGCAAACTAGACGGACAACTTGGAGAGCACAGTTCTGTGCCAAAGTCAATGCCCATATTGTGCAGTTTTAAAGAAAGTGATTCAGATTTGGACCAAAATGCAGTTACTTCTTCTTTTGGCTACACTCCACCTCCTCGCCAAGTTTCCTGAAATTCGGCCTTGTGGTTTCACTGTAATCCTGCTGACAAACAAGCAATTTATTAGGATGGCAGCTAATTCTGGGAGGTGATGAAAACTCTGGTTTAGGATTCATCATCTGGGAACCATGCAGTTCATCCAACATTTCAGTAAAATCCAAAAATGTCATCCTGCTGATTGTGTTTAGGGAAGTCAGTACAATTCATCCTCAGCGGGCCATGGATGTCTGTGATATATATATATATATCATGGCAATCTCACCAAAGTTGTTGCAACATGGATCAAAGTGACAAACCAACTGATTGTCAGACTGACAACAGAGTGCGTCGAAACAGCAGGTATGATTTTTAAAATTCCAATGATTCACCATTCAGGATTGAAGAGCCTCTTAGAATGTACTCCCCAACTGAGCGGCTCACATTTAAAATGAAATTGTCCCATGCCCTCCCAGAGGGGACGTCCTCAAAAAAAAAGGGGAGATGCTATGTGAGAATTGTGACTAAAAATATTCTGAGATTCTGAGGAAAGGAAAAAAAGAAGAATGAGCAATAATTTTGGACGCTTTCTTAACTGTATTGTGAAACAGTCTTCAGCAGTAGGCGGAAATCCAAACCAAACTGTAATTATGACAATTAGCAAATGTGCAACAACTGGTGTGAATATGAAGCACAAAACAATCCACTTTTTTTTTCATATTTCTGCCTCTCCTCTTTGGAACCTTTGTCTTTTCCTTCCACATGTTGCACTTTTTACTGGCCTTTTCCCATCATGCATGATCTTTGATGTTTCAATTTGTCTGTAAATCCCAGAAGTGGACCTGTCTGACAACAATCTGGGGGATTACGGGGCCAGAGCCATATCTGCTATGCTTAAGGAGAACGGCACCCTGGTGAGCCTCAATCTGTCAGGAAACCACTTCACAGACCAGTCTGCTGAACATCTCGGACCAGCCCTAATCACAAACACCAGGCTGAAGCACCTCGACCTCGGCCACAACTCTCTGGGAGACCGAACAGGTAGCAGAGCGAATGGTTTTGCACAGTAAAGGCCTCGAGGCTGTGTCCTCGCATAGGATAAAGCACTACTCCCAGTTTTATTAGGCTGATATTAAAGATTTGCACCAGAGATAATTTTTTTTCACATATTTTCCATTAGCAGCGGCGCATAATTGAGCTTCAGGACCCATAAATTATATGTTGCATCAATAGATAAATAGCAAAAGACATTAAAGCAGTGTGAGTCCAGCTTCTCAGGCCAGAGCTCATTCTCTCTCCTAATGAGTTTTAACAATGAGGTTTTCAATTTTCTGTTTAATTTCAGCCATGTAGGGGGGACAAAAAAAAAAAAAAAAAGGTAAAAAAAAAAAAAAAAAAAGGTACTACGTGTTAGCATTTGGATACATTCATATGATTCCAAAACAGTTGGAATTGGAATCAAGATGCTGATAAAACAGCCTCCGCTCTTCTGGTTACATGATTTCCACCAGATTTTGGAACAGCTGCACAGATTTGCAGCCATTCAGTCACAAGGCTATTAGTCCAACGCTGACTAATGATAAGGTGTGGCTCACAGTTGGCAGTTTGGTTAGCAGGACGAGATGGAGGGGTTGACTGTTGTGACAAATTTGGAGGCACACTGACTAGAATATCACTGTGTGCTGCTTTGAGAGGCCCAAACTATGGGTCACAGTTGTTTTAACACTTGAAGAGCATTACATTTCAGAATGGCATCATCTTTAAATTGCTGTTACTATTGTTATGGCTTAAAATCAAAGCTATTTTACTTTCCTTCGTTGGCACACATATGATTGACAATTTTTAATCTCCAAGTATTTGTTGAAAGTTTCTGTATGCAGTCGGTAAATCCATCCATCCATCCATCAGTTTTCTTCACTCGTCTGGGGTCGGGTTGTGGAGGCAGCAGGTGACGCAGGTCATTCCAGATGTCCTTCTCCCCAACAATGCTTTCTAGTTCCTCCAGAGGGATCCTGATATGATGCATTAAGCCTTTATTTATCCCACAGTTGGGAAATTTGAAAAAAAAAAGCAAGAGCTGCTGCAACAGGACTGGATGTCCCAGGGCATTCCCAGGCCAGATGAGATATGAAATCCCTTCAGCAAGGTCTGGGTTTACCCTGGAGTCTTCTCCCGGTTGGATGTTTCCAGAAAACCTCTAGAGAAAGTCACCCAAGAGGCGTCCCAATCAGATGCCCGAGCCACCTCAACTGGCTCCTTTTGATGTCAAGGAGCAGCATATCTACTCCGATCTCCCTCCAGATGTCCGTCCTCCCCACACTCATCTCTAAGGCTGAGTCCAGCCACCCTGCTGAGGAAACTCACTGTATCCATGACCTTATTCATTTGGCCACAGCTTGGTGTTGAGAGTTGGAACATAGACCAACTTGATAACTGAGAGCTTTGCCTTCCGGTTCAGCTCCATCTTCACCATTATGGTCCAGCACAACAGCTGCATTACTGCTGATATTGCAAGTCCTGTTTTCTGCCATTTTAAAGGCACATTATTGTAAAAAATCTATTTTTTAAACATGTATGCTGATCATGAGCGAAATAAGCNTCCAGAAAACCTCTAGAGAAAGTCACCCAAGAGGCGTCCCAATCAGATGCCCGAGCCACCTCAACTGGCTCCTTTTGATGTCAAGGAGCAGCATATCTACTCCGATCTCCCTCCAGATGTCCGTCCTCCCCACACTCATCTCTAAGGCTGAGTCCAGCCACCCTGCTGAGGAAACTCACTGTATCCATGACCTTATTCATTTGGCCACAGCTTGGTGTTGAGAGTTGGAACATAGACCAACTTGATAACTGAGAGCTTTGCCTTCCGGTTCAGCTCCATCTTCACCATTATGGTCCAGCACAACAGCTGCATTACTGCTGATATTGCAAGTCCTGTTTTCTGCCATTTTAAAGGCACACTATTGTAAAAAAAAATCTATTTTTTAAACATGTATGCTGATCATGAGCGAAATAAGCCGTCAGCATCGTGGCTTCAAAACTGCGGAATACGAATAAAGGTCTTGCAAACATTGAAACCAGCTGGTTTCATACTTGACAAGCTATCACCATCCAGGGTGAGGCTTTCTGTATCGATTCTCAGTATTACAGCTTGCTGAGCAGAATAGTTTTACTGCGTTTGAGCAGAGTTGTAGGTGAGCTGGAGTGCTCGAGCTGAAGCAAGTTGGAATGGAAGGGAGGGAAAGGCTGGAACTTCATAGCAGAGTTGAATCTGTGCTATTGTAAAGCATAAAGAGAAAAGCATAAAGGGGGGGAAAAAAACTCTAAATATGTAACTTTGATACGTGAAGGTGAGTTTTTAGGGTTTTAAATCAACAATAAGGGGCTTTAAATGATAACTGAATATGCAAAAAAAACTGACCAATTACTCTGTAGAGTCCAGATCCATTTATGCAAGAAGTGGCATCTACTTTTATTAGATTTGTTGAAAACTATTCTCACAAAAGAGTTTACCATAAAGGTGGAGCCGTATCTCCGAGCAGCCATTGGACAGCCTGCAGCAGCAGACTGTGGCATTCAAAGGTCAAGAACATTTCGCCTTCATTAAAACCTCCTTCGATTATCATGCGGATTAGCTTTGTGGCAGAAGAATGGCACACCAGAACACTAAACATCTGATACAGGCAATTGAAAATAAATCTGTCTGTGGGGGGGAAACAAAAAAGGGGAACACCACCCAAGCCTTATGCCACGTGTGCAGCCACGATTCATCCCCGCAACTCTGCATTCCCCGCTGCTGAAATATCAAAGGACATCCTGGTGCGCCTTGAGAGCGCTCTTCCATGCAGTGGGAGAAAGCAAACCAATCACACACTCTGACATTCATGCTATATTGCTTTTTGAAGCGAGCACATTGTCTTGCGTGATTTTTCCTGTGAACCGCTGAGTGTCATGCTCTTTCTTATACTCTTGGAAGAAGTCAGTGAGATGATATTTGGTATACTTTGCCTCTACGGTCATCACTCAGGAGCGCTTATGAATCACAACATCTCAGAGAAATGCACCAGAAGATGAGATAAGCTGTGTCCCGAGAACATGGAAGTTAGTGATTCTACAATATCTTTGTTATCAATCCGTTTGGGGAAAAAAAATCTGATGAAATGACAATTAGTTTTCAACAATCTCCATTTTCAAAGTACATAATTGAAGTCTTTACTTTGTGATTCTTAATCGTTTTCCTTGGTTTGTTTCATATCCTAAGGGCAAAACCTGGGAGACTCTCTGTCTGAGAACATGGGCTTAAGATCATTAAGTCTGGCCTGGAACTGCATCCGAGGGAGAGGAGCAGTGATGCTGGCCAGCGGCCTCGGGGTAATACACCTGAAATTAATGTTTGAACACTATATATATGTATTAGCATTTTTTTGAACAAGAACATCTCAAGGATTAGACTTGGACACTTTTATTAGCTCCTGATATCATATGAAGCCATCAAATAAGGAGCCATTCAAATCAAATTAGATGATATTGCTCATGTCGGATAGAAGCACCTAAAAATATCTTTTTAAAACTGATGTTGTGCATAAATCATGTATTAGTCAGACAACACAAGCTCCAAATCATTTAGATCCCAAACAGTTGCATTAGAGGTCTGGAGGGCTCACTTCTTTCTGTCTCTTTTATTTTTTATTAAGTGCTTGAAGTGACAAGTGAGTTTTTTGAGATTTCGCAAACTTCCCCCTGAAGCTACATAATGTTTTATTCACCTTCCTTCACATATGCAGTGCTGCTCCCCGACACCTGTAAACAAACTTTGATGTAAGTTGGCCTTTGAGATTACCTTTAATTGGAAATAAGAGCCATGAAAAACCACCCACGAGGAAAAATAGTTGGACTGGAGTGTCCACACACTTTTGGCAACATGCTTTACATAACAGAAGATACTCGCTGATTGAAACGGTGGAATTTGGAGGTAAAGTGAGATTGTGATATTTTCTCGTAATGCTGTTCTTGAATGTGGAACCTGCAGGTTAAGGTTAATACCATGGTGGTCACTAATTGAATAAGACATTTCAGAATTTGGCTAACTCACTTATCCTGCTTTGTGAAACAGCCTCCGGTCAGATATTCATCAAGCATCTCACAGCAAGAGACAGTATTTCTCTGTCTTAATGATCAAGATGGTCAAGTGGACCCTGAGAGGCTTCAGAATCCATACAGATCTCTCACTTTAAATTACGCTGTGTCTTTGTTAATCTTGTTAGAAAACTTCAAGTTTTCTTGTTGTTGCTTTTAAGATCTTTTCTGTGTTTTAGGGAAACATTTTCCTGAGAACAGTGGATCTGTCATTTAATGGCTTCGGGAAAGAAGGAGCCATCGCTTTAGGACAGGCCCTCAAAGAGAACAATGTTTTGGAGGAGCTTAATGTGAGGTATGAGCATCTGGTTTCTTCGTATCTGACGATCAGATGGGTGAGCTAAAAGGGGCAAAAGGCGAACCTTTGATTTAGATCATTCTTTCATAAATCTAAGATCTGAGAGACTTTTTCACTTGTTCGTGGAGTTAAATAGTTTATGAGCCTCCTGGTGATTTGCAGCTTTACTAATAGAGCTGAAATAGTGCTCACCCCTGAGCCTTGTGCCATAAACAAAAAAGTTAAAGTAATCCAATTACTTCTGCCTCTTGTTTAACCCTTTTAGTCGAGCAAGGCTCTCTTCACAAATTTCCATTCTTTTGTGATGAATTGTGACACACAAAAAAGTAGCACATTATGATTGCTTCCCTCACACTCCAACACACTTTTTTTGTTTGTTTTCTGCTTTTGTTTCTCGCCACAGTAACAACCGAATCCCTCCTGAAGGAGCCATCCACCTCGCCATGGGCCTCAAAGTAAACAAGACAATCAAATCCCTGAATGTAAGCTGTTGAAAAGAGATTGGATCCAGCTTCACAAGCAGTGGGGGGCAACAGCGGATAAAATGGGATAAATAAATGGATCCTTGTAATTTGTTTTAATGTCCTGGCTGGTCTTAACTGATTAAAAAAGTTATGGAGAGGACGCGAAATTGAGTTAAAGTGTGAGCACTTGAAGCTGATTGATGAAAAGGTTTTGCTGTGTGTGCAAGTTTGAAAACTTAGTATGAGCAGGAAAATGTGTGCAGATCCAGATCTAGACATATAATCAGGTAGTTGCATCCACTGAGTCTCACTGACTGGACTGTGGGATGAGTAAACTCTGCTGCTGTATTTTGAATGACATAGGGTGTATTTTTGAACAAAATTACATAATGTTTGAAAGCGCTGAGCCTGGCAAGGCAAACAGTCCAAACCATTTTAAGATACCAACACCACAGCAACAGCAGCAGCAGCAGCAGCAGTAGTTCCTTGCCATGCAATAAGAAAACATATTCAGCAAAACAGTGGTTTTTCCACTTTTCTGCTGTTTTTAGAGGCACGTAGTTGTTGGATCGCTATGTGCTGCACACTGTTTTCAACCACAAGAGTCCAGTGAACAGAAGACTTCCATAATTTTAGTCTTTAGTAAAAAAAAAAAACTCAGGCAGAATGCTGCGTGAATGTAAGATAAGTCAGATAAGTCAAAATAAGATAAGTTCCAACTTTATCAATCCCAATGGAAACTCATTTGCCAGATATCGCTCAGAAAAACAAAATTAAATAACATGAGAATAAATGCAGTGCCTTGTAGGAAAATTATAAGATGTAAGTATGGTACACTTATGAAAATAAAAGTAAAATAATAAAAGCAACAAGTATCACTGTCTGATACTGATAATGATACTTAGCTAGTAAAGTATCACACATGACAAAAGAATTACTGCACATCAGATGGAAATATTACACTAAACAAATGAAATATTTCACGTTACATTGACATGTACAAAAAAATGACATGAATACAAGGCCGACCAATTTGGTGCCCGAGGCAAGACTGTAGGTGGCGCCCCCGAGCATCACAGTGAATTTCACTCTTAATTTTCATACAGTAACACAGAAACTGTATGCACGTATTCAAGCTTTAATTTAAGTATAAACAACACATTACAAAAAACTGAAGAAACAAGTGACATAAATAAAAAATACAATTTAAATAAGGCATTATACAAATATAAAAAATGTTCTATAGCTTGTTTATTTTCTACTATTTACAGAACAAGGTGCTGTAGACCACTTAGGAATCTGATGTAGAGCTGCTCTGATTTTATTTTATTTTTTAAATAATTTTTGATAAAAAGAAACATGTTTAATTTTATGTGCAAAAGTATCCCAGACAGAAAGGAATAACTGACTTTCTGGGAAATTTGCTTCCGAGCAAAGAGTTAGATGAAGACACTGAGGCCACTGTCATGTCTGTAAAATAAATACGAAGTTGTCACTGGTACCTGATTAGCTTAGCTTAGCTTAGCATAAAGAACTCTAGAAACCAGTACCTTGGCTCTGTCCAGTGGTTTCACAGTCTACCTACTAAAACTCACAGACTGTATAAAAGATGGACGTAGCTACTGTGACGTCACCCGGTGGTTTCTGCACTGAGAACATGAAGCCAGGGTTTTGCTACTTCCTGGTTGACATCTTGGATTTTTGGAGCCAGTGACGCAAAAATCGTCGGAGGGGGGCGGAGCCATAGGAGCAGCGATTGGTCAGACGGATTGAGAGGCGGGCCCTCTCTGCCCCGCCCACATTTACCGCCTTCTGCTCGCTTCATCTGTATGGTCGCTGCTGACTGTCAATCAAGCCAGCCACGCCCCTTGCCCCGCAAAATGTTGATGATTTTTTAAAAATTCCGTATTGATTTATTTTCAGATTGGCCACCTGATCTCTGGACTTGACCATGAAAACTAATAAGAAAAACATTCTGAGCTGGAGGAATGCAGTATTTGGTGATCTGTGATCACTTCTTTTCCAATTCAAGTCTATGGGAGCCAGGGCTTATTGGAGCCAGCAGTTAGCGGACGTAGTGATATTGCAGGTTTTTGACACTTCCAGGTTGGCTTCATTTTTCAGGGCCGGTTGCTACGTCCATCTTTTATACAGTCGATGCTAAAACTTGAAAAAGTCCCTCATTGTCAGGGTATACTTTGTCAAATCTGTGGGGGGGGGAAAAAAAGTGTAAGAAAAAGAGTTTGTCATTCGGGCTTGTATAATTACAGCCAAAGTCAAGTTAGATTTAAGCTTTATAGGAGATGACAGATGTGACAGTCATTTCAGTTTTGTCATTTAACTCCCTGCCCAAAAATGAAAGTCTGCTTCCCAAAATGTGTTTTTTTTTTTTTAACGTGGGAATCAGTTTTTAAAAGCCATTCATCATTTCATCACCAGCATAACCTGAATTCAATAACCATGTTGAAACATTATGATATTTGTGTGTCTGTGGACAGATTGGGAGGAATCCCATCCAGAATGCTGGCTGCTACGGGATCCTTCAGTCTGTGCAGGAAAACCCAGATTCAGCCATGGAGGCTTTCGACTTTTCAGTAAGTCGCATGTGTCACCTCTCTAAGAATTTCTGCAAGTCTTTTCCTTTCTGCAGGAGGCAAACTTATCCACTCTCTCCTCTGTGCATCACCCTCTCCAGGACATCACAGTGAACCAGGATTTTGAAGACTTGTATACAGCAGTGAAAGAAATATTGCCTGAGCTCAGAGTAAATCATGGGGGCCGAATTGGCACATTCAGAAAAGTGAAAGCTTGAAAAGTGTTACTGTAATTGCTGGTACTTTCATGCCAGCAAAGATGGAAGAAGTCTTCTCAAAGCCCTATGGATGTTTTCAGCAACAGATGAACCAAAGCATAGAGGCCTGCAGAAACGTAATTTTAAAAAAATAAAAAAATAAAAATTTAAAGAGCGGTGAGTGCATATCCTTCTGAATAAAATGTACTTTGAATAAAAAATAAAATTGTTAAATAGCCAATCAGTTGAAAATAAAGGCAATTCAGAGGTAGACTGCTCATTTTCCAAAAGATACAGCATGTGTAAAATGCTTGAAATATGATGTTGATAGAGTCACTCAAAATGGGCATCCAGTACAGGTATTGAGTATGATTCTTTTTAGGTATGATCTGATTTGATGTTATATAATGTCAGTGGGTAGAATGATGGTGAGGATCAGAGAGCGCTGCATTGTGTATGAAAAGAAGTGAAAGTGGGTTGCACAAAAAGGATTTAAGTACTGCATGACTAGTCTAATAGAAAAAGCAGCTTTGAAAGAACTGTCTGCTATTAGATAAGAGACCTGTTTACAGCTGTAGGACAACTCAAACTGTGGTAGATACAGCAAGCTGTCATTTGGATGCATGCAGGTATCACTCCCACACACGCCTCAAAATGATCTCCAACCTGGTCAGCTTATTCCAAATGACTTCGGGAAAAAAAACAACAACTCTAGTGCTAAATGTTAGTCAAACAACACATCTAAATCTTACATATTAGGACATAGTTCAGCCTTTAAGTAATCTTTAAAAGCACCTTAACATTTGCTTTAGTACTGTTTTAAGTAGGTCAAGGTTACTTTATTATTACCCCTGGGTAGATTTGTTTTGCAGAAAATACAAATGATAGCATTTGGCAGTCTTTAACAAAAATACACAATACACATTGACAAAAAGACAAAAAAGAAAAAAGTGCTCAGTATTCTGCCATTTTCAATATAACAGCCAGGAAATAAAAAGATAAGATAAAATAAATAAGATCAAGATAAGTAAAAGTAAAACACAATAAAAAAAAAAACCTGAGGGAAATAAAAGCAATCTCTCGAATCAAAACCAAGATAAGAACATAAAATTTAATTTCAGAGTCACTATGATAAATAGAGCTAAGAAATAAAATAAGCAGAATAAAATAGTTTAGTTCGTTGTTTATTTTGTTGCGTTTCTTTTTTTTGTACTGGAGGGGCGGGGTAGTCTAATTTAACTTCCCATTCCAGTGCATGGAATTGTTTTGTTTTGTTTTGTTTTTTTTTTTTTTTTTTTGTTTTGTGCTGCGCGATGAGTTGTTTTTTTGTTTTTGCTCTGTGCTATTCAAATTGAATTGAATTGAATCCAGAAAAATGCCTTTGCAGTAAATAAAATAATGGTTCTAAACTGGTTCTAGTCTCATTGCCATTAAAAGATAAAGAAAAGATTAAACGTGTAAAGAAAACAAGAGATGTAGTCTGATTAATGAAAAAAAAAAGACTTTTACAGAGAAATTTGTAGCTTTGTGTTGCGCTTCTCACCTTTTCTTCCTCCTCATTCCCTTTCTTTCTTCTCAAAAACATGCTGAAATTATTAATTATCTTACCCTAAATGCAGTTGTAGATGAGAAGTGTTAAGGAAAAATGAGAAAACTAAATAAAAC